TGCAGTCTGACACAACTCACACTGCATTGGTCAAAAACCCTGTTGTGTCCACCAGGCTCACTAGAGGAGCAGATTTAACATAAAATATGTGATACATAAAGGATTTGCTAGGCAGGAATTCAGTGGCCGCCTGTGGCACAGGGTGGAGGACACAGAGTGGCCTCTGGAGAGCCAGAGGGCCCAGTGGGAGGTTGGAAGTCCAGGGCTCATTGCAGAGTCCCATGTAAGCCATGTGGAGCCGCAGAGTCCTGTGAGAGTCTATATGGAAGCCACAGAGTCTGTGCTAGAATGTGGAGGAACTGGAGCCCAAATCTAAAGGCCACGCAGAGATAGTTCAGAAGAAGCAAAAGGGCCGGCTGCCCTTTCTGTTCCACCCAGGCTACAAGCCTGGCGGTTGGCACCACCGTATCTGGGGTGGGTCTGCCCCTCGGTTGGCGACTTACATGTCAGTCAGCCAAGGACATGCCCAGAACTGTGCTCCACTAACCCATTCAAGTGCACTGCACAGCTCCCTCTGCCTCAAGGCCCTCGCCCTGTTTGGCACCGTGGTGTGGGCACAGAACCTCACCAGGAGGCCATGGCAGAACTGGGATGGGGACACAGGTTTGTGGATGCAGACCACAAGAGGACCGGGGCAGGGGGACAGAGTAGGGCACTTGCAGCTGGGAATTCACCCCAACAGCAGGGCATGGCCAGGGTGTGAGAACCTGGCAGCCTCAGAGAGGCGGCCGTGGGGCATGTGTGAGTGTTTCACGTGTGTATGCATAAGTCTGTACGGGTGTGCCCTTGCATGTTCACAGGAGCGTCTGAGTGTGTGCGGCCTGAATTCACATCTCAAGCAGAGAACATGCCTTTCTTTTAAACATTTAAAATCTTTTTTCACGTAAATAAAAATTACACTTTTTAACAGAAGTCATGCCAAAGTGGCTCTGACCAGTGTCTGGAGCATCTCCTCCTATGCATCCCCTGGGGAGTATTGGAATTCCCATGGGAAGGGGGGTTGTCATCACACCATGCTGTCCCCGGCTGGAGAGGACACTGCTCCATCTGCTTCTGACAACCTTCAGGGCTGAGACAAGTCACCTCTGGGGATACCAGGGAGAGTTCTGGGGACGACATGGCCACTGCCCGTGATGCAGGTGAACAGGATTTGAACTTCAGGCCTTGCCACAGGCCCAGTGTGAGTGGCATCCCAACACCCTGAGAGAGGTGTGAACACCTGCAGCTGGACCCTGGTTTCCCTGTCCAGCCCTCAGGAGTCCCACACCAAGCCCAGTGCCAAGCAGGAGGGCACTGCTGCCCAGGCCTGATGTCCAGGAGGACCCAGGGCAGAGAAGGGCAGCAGGAAGTGTGGCCACTTGCCAGCTGGGACTGATGTCTACTCCCAGAGCTGCCATGATGCAGGTCCCGGAGACCCTTGAGAGCTCCAGGATGCAGAGCTAGTGGAGGCATCTGCCCAGAGAGCTCAGCACCAGATGCCTGTGCGCCAGACACCAGATGCCCAGCAGGAAGGGGTCAGGTCAGAGTGTGTGGAGCCGCAGTTGCTGTGCAGCTGGACAGGGCCATTGCGGCTCTGAGAGTGGATTCTTCCAGGATTGTGTGGAGAGGTGAGGCTGTCAAGGAAGAGTTAAGAGAAAGCACCAGGGGCCGGCCTCTCTGTGTAACACTTGTACGTGCACATGTAGCTGAGTGGTCCTCATCTGGCCCTCAAACCCTCAGGCACCAGGCCAGTGGTACCTGTGCTTGGCTGGAGCCAGCTTGGGATGTGCATCTGTGCACTGGGAAGGTGAGACACACAGGCACAGGCTCAGAAAAGAAAACCTTGTGGGAAGTCTGATTGCATTTGGATTTCAGGATAAAGAACAGTTTTTCTATTAGTAGTACATGGACACAAAAAGTACCATTATTTACCTGAAATCCAGACATTTTTCTGGATGTGTTACACCCCAGCTGCAGTCCAATTGCAGATGAGCAGAGAAGCTAAGGACCAGCCTGAGCACCGTAGGTGCTGGGCAGCCCATGTGGGGAAGGTGGCCAGGAAGGATGGCCAAGGCTCCACCAACTCAGCTGTGTCAGATTCTTATACCCACCTAACCTGGACCAGCCTGCTTGCCTGTCCAGAGCGTGAACCCACAGCAGGTCAGATTGGCCTGGAGCAGTCAGGAGTAGGAGCAAAATGTACAGACATCATTTCCCCTGTGTGACACTAGATATGGAACAGGAAGCAGGGAGAGAAGGGACACAGCTTGGGCTCATCATGGAGGCCAGGCCCGGGTGAGTCTCAAGTCACAGTCCAGGAGGCGCAGACCTCCCACAGCCTTTCCAGAGCTCCCACAGCTTTAGCAGCATCCAATGCTCGAAGGGTCCTGCTGGCAAGCTGTCCCAGCACTCATGGTTGCTGTCCAGGACAGTCCCCATGACCACCACATTGCTAAGGAAGCATCTGGAATTCTCCACAAGGCCAGCTTCTTGAGGAACACTAGCCACGTGCTCATAACAGTCTTTGTGCCTGACAGCTGCTCAGGGATGACTCATCCTCCCTTCATAGGCGCAAACCAGACAGGGGGCAGGCAGGTGCCAGAGCTGACTGGAGAAAGTAATCTTCTAAGTTGTCGGCTGCTATGGGTACATCCCTCTCACAGGCAGAAGACACAGGTGTCCACCGCACTCAGTGCTGGCTGAGAGCACAGGCACACACCACACAGCACACACGCGCCTAAGAGCATGATGTCCTCCACACATGGTGTGACTCTCTAAGGACACAGACTGCCGCTTCACTTGGTGCCGACTGGGCATGCAGGCATACACTACACACATGCCCAAGGACATGGCATCCTCCACATAAGGACACAAGTGTCCACGGCACTCAATGCTGGCTGAGGACACAGGTACATATTATATACCACACACGTGCCTGAAGACATGGAGTCCTCCACATGTGATGTGACTCTCTGAGGCCATCGGCATCTACCACTCTCAGCACTGATTTAGGACATGAGTATACATCACACACCACACACATGTCTAAGGACATGGGTGTCCTCCACACAAGGCATGACTGTTGATACAGGCATCCACCATACCTGGTGCTGAGTGGGACACAGGTACACATCACACACATAGCTAAGGACATGAGACCCTCCACACACAGCATGAGGGTCCACCACACTCACTGCTGGCCGAGGACACGGGTATGCACTAGCCCCACACACACGCCCATGGCACCCTCCACATGGGATGACTGAGGACATGGGTGTCCACACAAGGCATAAATTGTCTCAGGACACTGAGATCCACTACAGCCAGTGCTGTCTCTAGGGACACAGGCATCCACTACACACCCACCACACACCACATGACTAAGGACATGAATATCCACCACGCCTCGTGCTATCTGAAGACAGACATCCACCACAATTAGTACTGACTGTGTGAGGACACAGGCGCCCACCACTTTCAGTGCTGTCTGACTGAGAATGTGGGCATCCATTACACTCACTACAGCCTAGCAGAGCACACAGGCATCTACCACATTCAGCTCTGATTGTCTGCAGATACAGGCATTCACCTCACTCAGCGCTACCTGAAGCAGGCGTGAACTACACTCAGTGCTGACTACCCAAAGGCACAGGCATCCACTACACTTGGTGATGACTGTCTGAGGACATGGCATCCACCTCAGTGTTGTCTGAGGACACAGGGACCCACCTCACTTGTGCTAACTCTAAAGACAAGACCACCCACCAGTGATGACTGAGGACAATGTCCACTATCCAGTGACGTCTGAGGTGCAGACTCCACCTTAACAATGGCTGACGACAGGGTGTCCCTCACAGATGGTATGACCAAGGACATGGGCGCCCACTGAGTTTGTGATTATCTGACCCCCCACTCAGTGATGATAGAGGACACAGGCATCCACTGCATTTGATACTGACTGAGGACATGGATGTCCACTGTGACAATTAAGCTTGATCATGTCCACTTGACTGGCTTGAGAGCCACCCAGGGGGTGGGGGGGCACTCTTCTCTGTGTGCCTGGGTGGGCTGTGAAGGTGTGTGTATGGGCCCCGTGCCTTCCTTTCTGGTGCTGCTCTGCCCTGCTCCCTGGACAGCATGAACTAAGCAGCTCTCCTCCACCACGCATTTCTGCCTTGCTGCTCCTGCCTTGGGGCCCGCTGATCATAGACTGAATCCCCCCAAATCCTGGGCCAATTAAACCTCTCTCTTTTAGGGTGTGGGTGTTGGGTACAGCAACAAGAAAGCTGATTCTCATGGCCTCACACATGGTGTGAGTATTTGAGGACACAGACATTGGCCATACTCGGTGCTGACTGAGGACACAGGCTCTCTATCCACCACATGTAGCGTTGGCTGTCTGAGGCAGCCAGCCGTACCACTTCCTGAGGGAGGTGGCGATTTCCTGCAGGATTCAGCCTCCCTGAATGGGAATATCTGGAAGGCAGGTGGCAGCCAGTGCTGGCGCTGGGGAGACAGAGGATGTGGGGGTCTCCAGGTGGAGAGTCGCATTGTCCAGGAGCGGGAGCAGAGCAGGCCACAGTTCACCAAGCCTGAGCTAATGGAGGGTGCATGGCCCACAAGGGCCTGACTGGGGCATTAGGGCCCAAGCAGAGCATGCGTTTCCGACCGCACTGCTGCCTGCACTGCCCACGGCCAGTCAGGCTGCACATCTTTGTGAGAATCTCCAAGCATGGTGCGTTCTTGGCTTGTTCCCCTGGGAACATGTCTGTCTCTCTCGAGTAAAGCAGGGCAAGGGAGGGGACAGCCATGTCCGAGGCTCCCGCTCTAGGCTGATAGCACGCTGCTCTGCGCCCACACGGCAGCCTCCTGCTGTGAGACTCCGCTCAGGACCACGGCTGCGGATGGACTGTGGCCTCAGGGTGAACCACAGACCAATGTCACAGTCCTTGCTCCATGACAAGCTCAGGAGAACTCCTTTTCCCCACCAGCCTGCTCCCTGCTTCTCTCAGCAAGCAGGGCTAGGAGACCAGACACATTCCCGACTTGGATGCAGGGGCCACCTGCTCCGTGGCAACCCCCTTCATATCATCAGGCATCTCGCCGTCAGCACGCCACACGTTCAGCTCCCCAAAGATGCCTGTCTCAATCATCTCCTCCTGCCAGGGAATGGGGCAGTTGCCAGAGGCAAATTCCTGAAAGAATTCCGTGTCCACTTTGTCAAAGACCACGCCTTTGACAGTGGAAAAGGCCCCCACGTCCTGGATGTTCTTGGCATAGACGGTCCTGGAGTCTGGGATGAAGGGAGGGATGAGCATCCCTGTGAGGAAACAGGAGACACAGACCAGATGCACACATCAGCCAGGCCTTGGCCACCAGCCCCCATAGCTCCATGGAAAACAGAGAGGGCCCCAGCAGTCAGTAGAGAAGGCCAGTGTCCCACATGGCCCCAGCCCCTGGTGCCAAGTGTTTAGTGGATAGAGCTGGGGACTGCAAAGCACAGCCAGGAAGCCTGTCCTGAGCCAACCTCAGCCTCTCTAGATCCCACCCAGTCCTCCTCCTGAGCACGAAGCTCCAGCCCCGGCCCTCCTGTGTGGACCACAGACCCTTGTGTGGCTCCCCGTGGACAGCATATCACAGCACGGCCCCCACTGAGCCTTCTTCAACCAGCTTCCCCTTCTTATGTGCCCAGGGCTACAAGAGCACGCCCTCCACCATTCCAGACATGCCTTGTCCCAGTCCCTGGCTCTGCACCTCTCCCCTGCACACTAGCACACAGGAGAACTTGAAGCTGCAAGGCCTACGTGGCCCCAGCTGGCTACATGTGGTCCTGGTCTTCCCATGGTCGTGAGCTTTCCCATGGCCCTGGCTTTTCCTGTGGCCGTGGTTTTCCTGTGGTCATAGCTTTTCCTATGGCCATAGCTTTTCCTGCGGCCCTGGCTTTTCCTGTGGCCATAGTTTTCCTGTGAGCACAGTTTTTCCTGCGGCCCTGGCTTTTCCTGTGGCCATAGTTTTCCTGTGACCACAGTTTTTCCTGTGGCCCTGGCTTTTCCTGTGGCCATAGTTTTTCCTGTGGCCCTGGATTTTCCTATGGCCATGGCTTTTCCTGTGGCCCTGGCTTTTCCTGTGACCATAGCTTTTTCCATGGCCCTGGCTTTTCCAGTGACCCTGGCTTATCCTGTGGCCCTGGCTTTCCTAGTGGCTGTGGTTTTTCCTGTGGTTATGGCTTATCCTGTGGCCATAGCTTTTTCCATGGCCCTGGATTTTCCTGTGGCCCTGGCTTTTCCCATGGCCCTGGCTTTCCCAGTAGCTGTGGCTTTTCCTGTGACCGTGGGTTTTCTCATGGCCTTGGGCTTCTCTGAGGGGCTCCCTCCTATGTATGGCTCCACTGTGAAACCTGGACTCAAACCCCCACAGCTCAGCCTCCATCTGGGGTCAAGTCCATGTCACCTGGCCCTTAGAATACAGTCCCTGGGCTTCTGACTTAACTCATGCCTTGGCTCAGGGCCAGTCCTGATGGCTCTCACAGGCAGAGTCCATGGCCAGACCAGTTGCCCAGGGCAACATCTCCTCTGGGCACCTCATCCTGGTCCCCATGACCCTTGGCTCTAGCCACAAGGTGGCTGATCTCAATGGTCAATGTAACTCTCCTTGCTCCAAGTCCCTGGAGGGACATGGGGCACGTGAGACACAGGGACACCTGGGCACGTAGACACAGACACAAGCACTCATACACTTGGACACACAGATGTGCCATGTGCACATGGACACCCACAGGCAAGGCCACATGTGTGTGGACACACACGCAGACACATGCACACTCACAGACAGGGGCAGAGCCTATGCCTCAGCTCAGGGTGAGTGATGTCTCCTGCCAGCCAGCCGGACACCGGCCTTGGGGACCTCACAGCACAGAGCATGGGAGCCACGCTGCACCCAGCTGGAGCCTGGGGTCCAAGGGACACCTGCCTATGCCCTGCATGTCCTCTCCTGGCCAGGAACACCAGAGATGACCAGAGGGCTGGGACCATGCCGAGGCAGGGGCAGGTGGGGTCCCATAGCACTCGTCCCCACTGACAGTACCAGCCTCGAGCTGCCTCCAGCTGATGCTCCCGAAGAGGGCATGCACACGCAACCCATCACAGCTCCCATCGAGAAAGCCCAGGCGCCGTGTGGGGTCCTTCTCCAGCAGCGCCTCACAGAAGTCTTTGCTGGCCTGGCTGAACTTTTCGGGGTACTTGACGGGCTCTGAGAGGATCCGCTGCTTCAGTTCCTTGTTCTCCACCTGCAGGAGGGCACAGGGCAGTGGGCTCGAGACTGGGCAGTTGCTCCTGCTGGTGCAGGTGACCATGAGTGGCCCCACTGAGCTCCCTGCCAGGGCTTGGAGCTGGCGCAATAGCATCCTAGCAGTGACACCAGGAGCCACAGTCTGGGTGCAGGGCATCTTAGGAAACTCTGGCTGACTTAATCAGCGTACCTGTGTAACGGCTACAAAAGAAAAGAAACTAACAAAACTAAAGCACCACATACCACAGCCATGCTAGGGTCTCATTCCCATATCACAGGACAGGAGCTGTGATGTGGGGCTCATTTTATTTCTGGCCACTCCCTGGAGATGGCATCCACCCTACCAAGGCCCCTCCTAAGTACTCAGGTGGACAGTCTGGTGGGCACCCCGGCCCCTCCAACCCACAGTGGCTGAGGAGGTGGAACAGCACTGCACCCCCAGGCCTGGCTACCATGCTGGGGATCAGGTTTGGCCCAAGAGCCTGGGAGGCCAGGATGGGGGCCAGCAAGGAAGTTCACCCCACATAGGCCAAGCTCCTACATGATCTCAGGTGGGGGGCGTGGGCAAGGCAGGGCTACCCACAGTGCCACATGCTGGGGGCACCATGCCCCTGGGCCCCTGGGCCCCTGGGCCCCTGGGCCCCTGGGCCCCAGGCCCTCTGAGCTCAGAAGTGGAGGGCACCCATCCTAGGGGCCAATGCTGATCACTGTCTGCTCTGGGGAAAAGGGACAGTATGAAGTCCTGCAGCAACCCTGCAGGTCTCAGGACCTGGCAGGCCTAAACGTGTTTCCAGGGGCCCAGAAACATCACCCCAAAAAGTGACAGGAGAGACTGTGCCCCACACCTGATCTGCCTGAGCAGCAGATCCTGAGGGTCACAGCAGACGTCACACAGCACCTACCTTCTCCCCACGGGCACGGAAGGGCCCTCTGGCTGCGATCATCTCATACAGTGTGACCCCCAGGGCAAAGTAGTCCACGGAGAAGTCATATTCTTCACCCCGAAGGAGCTCGGGGGCCATGAAGCCTGTCAGACACAAGCACCCGTCCTAAACACAGAGCTGATACAAGTGGTTCTGGCCCCACAGGCTCCAGCACCATTGTTATCTGGGGACAGAAAGTCCCATGTGGTCATTCAGGACACTGGGCAGCACCCTAGCCTCCAAGTGCCAGATGCCAGCAGCCTTCCCCCAACAGGCACCAAAATTCTGTGATACTGTTTTGGTTCCCACCAAACTGTCTCCCAGCATGCACAGGAGTGGGGCAGTCATCCTGGTTGGGAACCCCTGTGCTGCACAGGTGGTGTGATATCTTCTTTCCCCTCTGTGGCACCTTGAACTCAGAGATGGTGCAAAACACGCCTGGACCACACTAGAGCATGTGTGTGACTCTCCAGGTACGACAGACAGAAGCAGGCAGCCCTACTGTGGCTTCCTGACCCATTCTCCAGCAAGCCCAGGAAAGCTCAGGACTGAGCTCAGTTGGTCTCCAGCCCAGGACAGCCCAGGGCCCCTGCAATCACCTTGCTGTGCACCTGGGTGGTCGTGTTGCATTTAACCCACACTCACAGAGATGTAATCAATGCCTCAGCATGGGAGACAGCGGCCCTGAGGTGGTGTCACTTGCTCAGATGGTATGAGGTAGAAAGTAGGCCTGATCAGGCACAGCAGCCCCTTGGCCGGGCAAACCTGTCCTTAGCCCACCAACTGCCTTCTTGTACCTTGGTCTTTGGCTCAAAGTGACTCATGCAGAAAGCAGACCAGACAGTGCCCAGCCTGCTTGTGCCACAGGAGTGGCCTGACCCTCTGGTCTTCGCTTCCATGGTTGGATGTCCTTGCCAACATGCGTAGCCCCTGGACAGCTAACTCTGATGCGGGGGCTACCTTGGACTCCCCTGATGCCCCTCCATCAGCCAAGCAGCACTACACACACCTCCTCCCTCTCAGACACCACTGGTCAACAAACCAGGATCCAACAGCATGCCGGCCAAGCCAGGCTCCGAGCCAGGGCCATGTCTCTGTGTACTGCACTCTCGGTTTCCCAAGATTACATTAGTGTTTTCTTCCATTTGCTTGGTTTCCCATGTGCTGAGTACCAGGTTATCACATCTTTGAGAATTCTCCAAGCCCGGTCTTTTCTGACAAGGCAATATGGTGTCAACACCATCCTGGTGAGTGTCTCTGGCACCTTCTCCCTGCGCTGGTCAGGCCTGGGAGGGAGCCATGGAGCCTCTTCGTCCTTGCCCCAGATCACTGCCTCCTTGGTGGCTCCTTCATTTTGGCTGAGTGGCTTCCTCAGGAAGGTGCTAAAGGTGCATTTGGGAACATTCCTGTCTGAAAATGACTCCATTTCTCCTTGACGTTCAATCAATGCTTTGGCTGGGTAGGGTGTCGCCTCTCTGGATTTTCTAAGCATTTCCCTCCATCTTCTCTCTCCAGGGTGACTTCAGGAAGCACCAGCCCCACCGACCCAATTCCATGTCCCTCCTGGCAGCCTAGGTATCTTCCTCATGCTGGAATCCCACCAGCATCTCTGGGGCTCTGCAGGTACCGACGGGCCACGAATCTCCAGATGGAAACTGGTACGTCCACTCCCAGGGTCTTGGCGACACCTCCAGCCATAGCTGGTTCATACGTTAGCCCTTCTGGGGTGGGCTTCGGTTTTTTTGTGCTTCTCTCCTGCTGTCTCTTTTTGTACTCTGATATACTTTCTGGGAGGACTCTGAGTTGATCTTTCAAGTCTGCTTGGGTGTTTCATTTCTCTCTGCTTCTGCCCCTGCATGGGGACAGCGGCTCCTCTCCTCTCTTCAACAGCATCAGTAATGGGTGGGCCCCAGCAGGCAGCCTTCCTCCTCCAGCCTCTGGACGCTGATGGGCATCACAGGCCCCCATTCTCAGCCTGTTGTGCCTTCCGATGCACCAGGTGACAGCTGGACAGCATCCCCATGGCTGCCCCAGGCCCCTCTTCCTCTTTGCTTCTGACCTGAATCTCCACTGCCTCCCTATCTACACTTCAGAAGCCACACACACAGAGGGGAGTGGGCTCCATGCGTCTGCCATGGTCCCCAGGCCCTGCAGGACACTGTGCAGCCCTGAGGATGCGTCCTCCTGCAGGACTGATGCCTACACAGGGCCAGACGTGGGAGGCACAGGATGCCATCCCTGTCTGTCCCCACAGCCAGCCTGGCTGACCCTGAGTACTGCGGAGTGGCAGCCACAAAGCAGTGGTGAGGGAACCTCTGCATGGGCAGTGCCCAGCCAGGAGACCTATCTGGAGGGGCTTCATTCCCGCAGGGCACCCACCACCTCAGCGTCACTGGAGACCAGGTCAGGTCACAGCAGTGCTGATTCCTGGGGCACAGCTGGCCACTGTGGTGCTGCCTGAGAAGGCCCAGAGCCCATCTCTGGGGCTGGGTGCAAAGCAGTAGCAATAGCGCCCCTGGTGGCCAAACTCGAGACAGAGGTTTCCAGTCCCAGCTGTGTGAGGACCACGGAGGCCCAAAAATGTCCTCCCCGACCCCTCAGGGCTGCTCCAGGTCTGCCGCTTCCAGAACGTTCTTCTCAGCGCCCCACAGTGGCAGCAACCTCCAGGGGAGCCTCAGTCCCTTGACTGAGCCCCAGGAGGGCAGCAGGAACCATCCTTCTCCAGACCAGGGGACGCCCCTTCCCTAAGTCAGGCCACACAGCCACCCGCTCCACTACACGGCAGGACCAAGTCCCCTCACTGCCCAAGCCTGGCCTCCAGGGCAGCATCTCCCTGCATAACCAAAGGCACCTGGTACAGTGGCCACATCAGGACACCCACACCGCACATTTAGAACAAGCTCAGAGAGGCCAAGTGAGCTACCCGAAGCCACACACCACTGACAGCAGGTGAGAACACGACCACACACTGCCCACACAGCTCCTCCCCTCTGTGCTGCATGCCTGGGGAGGGTGAGAAGAAACGGGGGAGATGGGGAGCAGGACACGCCAGGCATGTGCAGCCACAGCACACACAGACACACATGTGCACTCAAAAGACACAGACACATAGAAGCATTACAAAATACACCAACACACAGAGATGCATGCAGCCACGTGTGCAGAGACAGAGATGCTCATGCCTGTGTGCCTCATACACATGTGCATGCATGCACAGAGAAGTATGCGCACAGAGAGCTGCTCATACTCACGTGCACACACGCATGCACATTCACACAGACATAGGTGTGGACTCACGTGGGACACACACACGGACACACACATGAACAGGTGCATGCTGTGCACAGTGGCTGCACCGATTCTACAAAAGCTGCTCTGTGGCTCAGCTCCCACCCCACGCGCCTGGATCGTATCCTGTCCACCCATGCCTGGGGCACCGTGAGCCCTGTCCACTGCTGCCCACATGGTTCCAGGGCAGTTGTGACACAGAGCCCTGGGACTTGCAGGGCAGGGAGGGTGGCCACAGGGAGCAGCCCTATCAGCTCCCAGAGAGAGGCGGGAGGGGCACTGTAGCTCTTCGCGGGGGAAGGAGGAACCGTGCTGCACCCTGCTGGCCAGGTCCCCACCTCACCTGGGGTCCCCGCGTAGCCCTTGGTCTTGCTCTGCCCTTCCTGCAGCTCCACAGCCAGCCCAAGGTCAGAGATCCGCACATTGCCTGAGCCAACACAGTGGGGTCAGAAACCAAGATGCCCAGCACACATGGGCTTGTACACTACACATACACACAGCCATGACACACACACACACACAGACACAACACATACACACAACTGGCACTATACACACACCACAGAGCATACACACGCCACACACACAGACACAACATACACCAGGCATACACTGCACACACACACCTACGAATGATCCTAGTATGGACATTGTTCCAGGGGCACAAGACGGGTGCTAATGGTGAAGGCTTGGGTCCCGGCATGCTCTACAGAGCTGGGGTTGGGGTAACAGTCACAGTTAGGGGCATGAGGGCCAAGGCAGGGTAGGAGTCTGGACTGGGGTCAGGGTCAGGGTCACGGTCATGGTTGGAGTTGAGATCAGGGGCAGGGGCAGGGCTGTGGTCAGGGTCAGGGTCAGGGTCAGGGTTAGAGTTGAGATCAGGGGCTGGGGTCAGGGTCAGGGCTGAGGCCAGGGGCAGGGTTGGGGTCAGGGTCAGGATCAGGGTTGGAGTTGAGATCAGGGGCTGGGGTCAGGGTCAGGGCTGAGGCCAGGGGCAGGGTTGGGGTCAGGGTCAGGATCAGGGTTGGAGTTGAGATCAGGGGCTGGGGTCAGGGTCAGGGCTGAGGCCAGGGGCAGGGTTGGGGTCAGGGTCAGGATCAGGGTTGGAGTTGAAATCAGGGGCAGGGACAGGGCTGGGGGCAGTTGCAGGGGCAGTGGCAGGGGCAGTGGCAGGGGCAGGGGCAGGGTTGGAGTTGAGATCAGGGGCAGGGGCAGGGCTGGGGGCAGGGGCAGGGGCAGGGGCAGGGTTGGAGTTGAGATCAGGGACAGGGGCAGGGCTGGGGGCAGGGGCAGGGGCAGGGCTGGGGGCAGGGGCAGGGCTGGGAGTAGCCCAGGGCAAGTCTCACCATCGTTGTCCAGCAGCACATTCTCTGGCTTGAGGTCGCGGTAGACGATGCGCCTCTGGTGCAGATGCTCCAGGCCGCTAATGATCTGGGCCGTGTAGAAGATAGCGCGGGGCTCTGGGAAGCCGGGGTTCTCCTCATCCATGTTGTAAATGTGGTACCTGGGGGACAGTGGGGCACTGAGCAAGGGTTCCATGTCACCCCAAAGCCCCAGGGCGGCAGTTCCCTGACCACGCTGCTGAGAGGAGATCAGGCCCATGTAATGAGCGGGGGGCGCAGCCCTGTCCCTCGGAAGGGAACCATGTGGCCTAGATGAGTGGCCCTGCACCCTCGACCGCCGAAGCCCCCTTTGCTGCACCAGCCTCTCCCAGTTGCGCCCCAGGAAATGGGTGCCTGAGCTGCTGGGCGCCTGGTAGGGGTGGACAAGGGAGGTAAAGAGAGACATAGTCACGCTGGGTGCTGGTCTGGGCCTCACGTTCCTCCTCTGGAAAATGGGCAGCTGGGGTTCCTCAGAGTGCAGAGGGGTACAGAACCTTGGAGCATGGCTGCCTCTGACGGAGCCAAGGGGCACCAGTCACAAAAGCCCCTGGGGTGCTAAGGTCATCCTCCAAGCAACCTCTGTATTTTTCAATTCATCTACTGGGTTTTTTAACTTTTATTTTTATTAGCATGTGCCTATAGCACAACATGATTACATTCATCATGGGGAGCTGGTACATGCACTTCACATCTCAGTTCTTCTTACTTCCTATTTTTATTCCCATTTTACAGATGAGGAAATTGAGGCACAGAGCAGTTAGCTCACCCAGCTGGCCAGCAGTCTTTCCCCTCCCAGAGCTCATGATGGGCCAGCCTAGCGCTGGGTGATCCTGGCCAAGGCTGAGACAGCGCTGCCTCTCTGCCACTTTGTGCCCCCATGAAGGTCAGCACCAACGACAATGGCCCCAGAGGCCCAGGGCGCCCACCTGATGGGGGGCCAAGCAGGTGTCCCCTTAGGCCAGGCTTCCCCTGGGACGGCATCTACCTGATGTCACCTCCGTTCATGATAGTCATGACCAGGCAGAGGTCCGTCTTGGTTTCGAACGCGTAGGCCAGGGAGACGATGAAGCGGCTGTGCACCTTGGCCAGGATCTTCTTCTCCACCATGGCACCCTGCAAGGTAGGTGGGTGAGTGCAACACACCCAAGGCTCCCAAAGCCACAGAAGGTTGTCAGGGGCCACTCCCAGAGAGGTGGGTGTGGAGTCGCCTGGGATAGACAGCGGGGGTCAGCTGGCATCCCCGGGGAGCCCCTCCACTCTGGCAGCCTCCCATCAGGCCCTCCTGCTGCCCCACAGCTCTGCTCACTGTTCTGTGGTTCTCAGGGCCCAGTCAGGCTGGCCTCATTTGGCCTTAGGAAGGGAGAACGCTGCCACTGGATTAAAATTTCAGACACAGATGAACAGCCTGACATGTGGGTTATACCTCAATAAAGCCATTCTTTAAAGACTGTCATTAGCCAGGCGTGGTGGGGTACACTTGTGATCCCAGCACTCGGGAGGCTGAGGCAAAAGGATCCCAAGTTCAAGGCCAGTCTGGGCAAAATGGCCAGACCTTGTCGTAAAAAAAAACCCAATTTTAAAATTTGCCATTAAAATATAGTGGGGTGCCGTCACTTCACTCTTAAGCCCAGTGAGGACCCATTTGACAGTGCCATGAGCACCTGACATTTGACCTGGCAGGTTAGGAACAAGCACCGGCTATGTGCCTCAGAGCTTCACCTGCCCTCAGCACCACCTGCTGTGCGCAGTATCTGAGTCCCTTGGAGGCTAAGCAGCTTTCACTGGCCCTGTCCTCACAAGACACCTGACCCCAGACAGGGCAGGACAGAAGGGGCCAACCTGTGGCATGTCCTCTTCGCTCCCCATCCTGGGAAACCTGTGTGCAGGAAACACAGTTCTGCACCCCAGAATCACAGGGACCCTGCTTCCCCTTCCTGGAAGCTTCCAACCATCCCGCCTCTGCCTTCTGTGCCCTCTGGTCATGAGGGCTGGGCCTGGGCCCTGTAGCCAGGACTCTTCCCAAGTTGCTCCTATGCATGGTAACTGAGGCAATACCCCCCAGGAGGCCCGAAAGGCAGGACCCAAGTGCTGTGCTCAGCATGCTGCCGGCCCCTCACCTGGTACCCCTTCCTCTTCTTCAGGCGCTTCTTGTTGAGCTTCTTGCAGGCATACATCTTGCCAGTGGCCTTCATCTGGCAGGCCCACACCTCCCCAAAACCACCCTTGCCCAGCACCCTAAAGTCCAGGAACCAGTCCTCACCCATGGGCTGTGCCTCAAGCCACTTCCACTGCAGGAACCTCAAGAAGTGCAGGCTGCCCAGGAACTCCTGGAAGGGGCCCTGGCTCAAGTGCGCCAGGGTGGCCTGCAGCAGCGGCTGGAAGAGCCCATCCTGGCTCCCCGCCGGGCCCTCCCTCACCCTCGCCACAGCGCCCTCCTCCAGGAAGCCACAGAAGAGCTCCGCCCGGGTGTCCAGGTACTCGGCCAAGAGGGCCTGTGCCTTCTGCGGCCGCAGGTCATCGTCGGCCATGTCGTAGTCCTCGATGTCCCTCCAGAGCCCCAAGGCCGGTGCGTGCCTCTTGTCCATCCCCAGGAACTGCTGGAAGAGCCGCTTCCCAATGGGCTGTTCCAAGCACACACTGTCAAACCCCAGGCTGAGGCTCTCACGGAGGCCCTCGCACTTGGACAGCGGGGGCAGCCGGAGCTTGGCCAGGTACTTCTTGTCCCGGGAGGATGGGACACTGCTCCCATCAAAGCTGCCCCGGGCAGCGATGAAGGCAGAATTGGCCACCACGGTCTCCAAGGCCCCGAAGTCCATCCCGCCGCTGCTGAGGCCCAGCCCACAGCACCCACTGCCAGAGTGGCCCTGACCCGATGCCCTTGGCCTGTGCCTGTGCCTGCCCTCTCCAGACGAAGACGACGTCCCAGCCCCGGCGAAGATGCTGGGGACCCGCTGGGAAGCCCCAGGAGTCCGGGGCCGACACAGCGTCAGACTAAATCCCAGCCCCAGGGTCGTGAAGGACGCCTTAGGAGTGACTAGTGAGCGCCCAAAAAAGACAATCCCCTAAGCTGCTCCAAATCGGATTAGAGGGAGTGTCAAGCTGCCCCTCCTGCCAAGGGGCCACCTCTGCTTCCCACAGGAAGGACGAGGCCAGGCCCCAGCCCCAGCAGGCAGCAGCGCCTGTGCAGTTCCTTGTGGGAAGAGAACGAGGTCGGGGGAGAAAGCTTTCTTCGTAAGGACGGCAGCCTGTTTCCTCCTGCTGGGTTTCACTAGGACCCAGACCTCCCGACAGTAGGAATCCAGAGCAAAAGCCCACACTGCAGAGCCCCGGTGTCTATACCCAGACCCTGGGTGCTGAGTCAGCAGCCCCAAGCAGTGTCCTCGCCGCAAAGCAGGCCGGCAGACATGCCAGGTAACATGGCGACCAGGTGACCAGAGACACGCAGATGCTGCTCGGGTCCAGGCTGCCAGAGAACGGCAGACACAGTGAAGAGTGCAAAGGTGGGACACATGTAGGATACACCTGACACACACCCAGGACACACTGGGGCACACCAGGGCACACCTGAGATTCAGGCAGAGTACACACAGGCACACCTGAGACTCAAGTAAGGTTCACCTGGGACATACCTGACACACACCCAGGACACACCTGGACACGGTTGAGATTCAGGCATGGCATACGTGGGACAGACCTGAGACACACCAGGGCACACTGAGACACACCTTGGGAGAGTAGCCCACAGGGACTCCCGTTTGGGAAGAACCACGGGGCATGAGCAGGGTTAGTTCTGGCCCCCAGCGGGGAGGAAGCACAGGGTTGCACAGGGAAGCGAGCCAGGCCCCCTGCTCATGCAGGAGGACAGCGGGACCCTTGAGTGGGGACACGCCCAAGTGGAGTGGGGAGGGGACACACTCTCGGGCTGAGCAGCACGGTCCATGCAGGCTCCTGGCAGTGTCCATGCAGGCGCCAGTGAGTAAATATTTGAGGTGACCAGCAGCTCTCTGTCCCCAGGAGACCTGCACTCCTCCCCCCAGCTACTCAGCAGCAGGTGACCTTGAGAGCCATGGGACCCCATTCTGCCCCCTCAGAGTTGAGGGGACGTGGCTCACTCCCTGCTGCGGCACAGGGACTCAGGCTCCGCCAGAGGCACGAGGGGCTAGGGGGCACTGAGCGAGCTGGCAGTTGGGACAAGGGGCACTCTGGGAGATGTCCCTGTGCCAGGCACCACAGGGCAGGGACATGCTCAGTCACAGGGCCAAACAAGTCCCTTCTCAGGTCTCAGATGTAAGAGGTCGGGCATGCAGGTCTCCAAACCCTAAATGAAATGTTTATTTTATGGTAACTGCAGATCCACACGCAGTTATGAGGGACCCAAAGTGTCAGTGCCCCAAGTTTAGCTCAACACTGCAGCCCATTCTGTGAGGCCAGAGCCTCCCAGATGCAGGGCTTGGGTCCTGGGACCCTCCTGCCTCCCTGCACACCGCACCCATCTCCTCCTTCTCCCCCGTGGAGGCAGATCTGTCCCCCGGCCACCCTGGGCCATTGCTGGGGGCTGTGTGAGTGGACTCCACGCCGTGCTGCCCTTGGGGAGTGGCTTCTCCACTCCATGGTTCCAGAGGTTCCCCCACTACCCAAACACGTAACCAGCTCCCACTCCTCTGGCCAAGCAGTGTCCTCTCTCACTGCCATTCCCAGCCACCCACTGCAGGGCCTCTGGGCTTTTGCCAGTGTTTGGTTGTCATGAACAAAGCTACGCAGGTCCCATGCAGGCTTCCGCGTGAATACAAATTTCCACTTCTCCCGGACAAATGCCCAAGAATAATTTTAGGTTCCCTGGTATTCACAAGGTTACTTTATAAGGAGCTGGCAAGCTGTCCTCCAAGAGCCTGCACCCCATTTTACATCTCCAGCAGCCAAAGCACAGGAGACACAGCTCGCCACACCTCACCAGGACAGTGTCTGCCACCTGTTCTTTCCTCACCATTACAACGGGTACCTGCTGCCCCTCGTGGCTTTAGTTTTTGTTCCCCTTGGTTGACTCCTCACATCTCCTGACTGTTCTACCCAGTGTTTGCTTTTGGTCATTGACTTTGGAGAGTCCTTCTGTGTCCCGGACACCAACCAGGCCCTTGCCAAAGACGTGGTTTCCAAACGCCCTGCCAGGTGGCGGCCCATCTCCTCTCCCTCTCCAACCTTCTGCAGAGCACAACTGTGCTTTGGTGTAAGCCCAAGTGCCCTCCACCCAGCCCGAGGTCCTGAGGACTGACACATTTTTGGGACAGTTTTTCCTGTCCCAAATTACGCTGCAGTTCCAAAGCCGCTTTGAGTTCATTTTTGTATAAAGGGTGAGACAGGTTCTGGATTGGTCAATTGATTTGTTTGTTTTTAACAGTTGCCTGGCACTCCTACTAAAAACATTGCTTCTGCCTCACTGGATTTATTCTTCACCTTGGAAGGAGGCCAGCTGGGCATATTTGGGTCTGTCCCTGGATTTTCCCTTCCATCCCTTCAGTCTCTATGTCTCCTTCTGGCCAGACCACATCACCCTGACCACTGTAGCTATATCACAAGCTCTGAAATGGGGTAGACACAGTCCTTCCACTTTATTTTTGTTTTTCCAAAATATTTTTTATAAAAATTCTTTTAAAAACCCTATATTCAGCTAGGCACAGTGGCACATGTCTATGTTCCCCATACTCTAGGAGGTTGAAGCAAGAAGACCACAAGTTGGAGGCCAGTGTGGGCAACCTTACCTCAAAATTTAAAATTTAACAAAGGGCTGGTGATGTAGCTCAGTGCGAAGGCCCTGGGTTCAACCCCTAGGAATGCACACACACATACACACCGCTATATGCACAGTACAGAAGAAAACGCCTATCTGGTCTCTTTGCTGACTCTATAAATCTTCTCCCTGATAGGAACTGAGTTAAACATTTGTGTTAAGCACACAGCCTGCGACTCTTTTCCTGCCAGCCCTCCACACAGGCTTCGGTCTGCAAGTTGCACATCAGTTGTATTAGATGAATGCCTAAGCATCCCTTTTTGTTTGGGGCAATCATGATGCACTGCATTTCTAATGCTGAATCCCACATGTTCACTACTAGTGTTAGAAACACAGTGGCATTTTGGACATTTACCTGTGCCTCACAACCTCGCTAACCTCTCATCCCTGTAGTTTTCCTGGGTAGTCTGCATATGGCACCCTGTTCCCTGCAGCGAGGACAGCTCCACTTCCTCCTTGCTGGGCTGAGTGTTGTTTGCTCACTGGCATGGCTGGTGAACCTGGGAGCTGCACAAGGAAATCAGACTCCTGGTGTGGGCTCCGGCTGGGCACTCACCCATCACCACCCAGAGTCACTCAGGTTCTGTGGAGGCTGAGTCACACTGAGGAAGCTTCTCCCGTTCCTCGTTTGCTGAGAGTTCCCATAGTAAATGATGCTGAATTGATCGAAGGTGCTTGCATCACTGATCACTACAATCCTGTGGATTTTCTTCATTCAGTTAATGCATGGCACCAGTTGATTTTAGTATTACACCAGTTTTGCATCCCACATGGTCATGAAGTGTGTTTCTCACACACTTGGATTCAGCTACCAATTTTTAAAGGCTTTTTATGCCTACATTCATGAGAGATGTTGATCTGTGGTTTTCTGTCTTATATTGTTTTATCTCATTTTAGATAACACTTGCCTCCTAAAATCAGTTGGGGAATGTTTCCTGATCTTACATTTTCCAGAAGATGTGGTTTTTAAAACTGTGCTAATTTTTCCTTAAACATTTGGTAACACTCTCCCACAAAAACACCTGGGACTGGAGGCTTCTTTGTAGGGAGATTTCAAAATGATGAATTCACTTTCCTTGATGGCTATGGGACTGTTCAAGGATCTCTTCTAGGGGCTGGGGATTTAGCTCAGTGGCAAAGCGCCTGCCTGGCAAGCACAATGTTGTGAGTTCGGTTCCCGGTACCGGAGAAAAACCAAAAAAAAAAAAAAAAAAGGATCTCTTCTAAGCTGGGTGAGTTGTGTTCTAGGAAAGTGGCCCAATGACTCTAAGGTCCAGGTCTTGCACAGAGACAAGTAGCATCTTCCCTGTTTTGGTGTCATCGGCCTGTGGTGATGTCTCTGGTTCACTCCTGATTCCACTGACAAGCGTCTTCTCTTCCCAGTTTGCCAGCTTTGCTGATCTTTTCCGGAGATCGGCCTTTCATTCAGTGATTCTCTTCACTGCCTGTTTGCAAATTCATTGGTTTCTATTCTCTTCTGTTTCCTTCTCCTACTTACTAATTTTTTGTTCCTGTTCTTTGTTTTCCTAGACCTGTGAGGTGGAGGCTTAGATTTTTTTATTTGAAATTTGCCTCTTTTCTAGTGCACACATTTAGTGCTATAAAATTTCCTCTTCATGCTATCATAACTGTGTGCCACAAATTTTAGTAGGCTGTATTTGTGTCTTCTCTCCATCCTGCATATTTTTAAAGTTTTCGCCACAGACTTCCTCTAGACTCAATTATCAGAAGTGTACTATAGTTTTCCTGTGCTCTGAGGCTTTCCTGGTGCTTTCTGTGATTAATTCCTACTTTGATCCCATGCTGGTTTTAGAGCTCTCACTGTAGGACTGAAATTTTTAAATTTGCTGCGACTTATCCTGTGGCCCACAACACAGCCTAGTTTGTATCCGTTCCACTCTTTAGAAGAAAGGCATCCCGCCAGTGCTGTGGGGAGCCTTGCAGAGGGCACAGGAGGCTGAGGAGGTCACAGCTTCTGTCCACCCCGACATCTGCTCAGTTCTCTTATCAGCTGGTGAAGGAGGTGCTTCGAAGCGCCTCCACTTCTGATTGTGCATTGGTCTACTACACCCAGTTCTGGAAGCTCACAGCACATTCGGTATTTCTGCTTTTTTAGGGCTGCCCTGCCTTCTCTGTGCATCAGCCCTTTTCTTACTTTATTGCGAGCCTCTTTGCTGCTGGAAACTCCCGCTGCCCTGCAGGGTGTGCACTTAGCTGCTGTTTTTCTGGGTTAGCACTTGCATGGCACTCCTCCTCCATTCAGCCTGCTGCGCATCCAAGCTGGTGAGTCTCCTGTAGACGGTACACAGCTGGCCCACGTTTTAAACCAGCTCTGCCAACCTCCGCTTTTATCCGATGCACTGAACCATGCACAGGAGAGCAAGGCTTGATGTGCGAGGGATCACACCTGCCGTTTCATTTGTTCTACTTTTGGTTTCTGTGCTTCTTCTTCCAGTTTTCCTGTAAGACACTTGAATATTTTTCGAATTCAATTTTTATACCTCTATGGTACTTAAAGTGTATCTCTTGATGTAGCTGTTGATTGGTAGGTCAAAGCACTGCATTATATACATCACTTACCACATTCTTTGGTGCTACAGTTTTATTTCTTCAAGTAAAGTATGCGAAACATCCCATTTTCCCTCCCTATTCATTGTTGTGCGGATGTCCCTCGTTTAATGACCAACCTGTTTCCCTACTGTTTGGATCTACGGCTGAGGCGCGCCGTTCGGACTCCGCACCCATGGCTTGGACGAAGGACCTGCACTCAGGCTCGTGGCACAGCAAGCAGCGCAGCCTCACAGCGGCATCTTCTGCGGCTCAGCTCTGTGATCCACGGACCCAGCACAGCGCTGTAGTTTATGTTCTGTCACCCATCACAGCACTGCACAGAAGAGTTCCGCAAATAGAAGCAAACTCATCAAGTTGGAGTTTCCTTTGACCACTTCTTTTCCTAAATAATGTATTGTGCATACTCTCCACAATTCCTCATTTAACAACCTGCAGTCACAGGACTTAACTCAGTCGTTAAATGGGGTCTGCAACAGTTTTAATCACTTCCTTTACATACAGAGCGCCCTCAGGCAGTATTGGCATTGTGCTTTACTCACTGAACATAATTTAAAACCCAAGAAGAAAACGAAAATCTATAGTAATCACCCATATTTTTTCTAGCTATTCCTCCCTTCCAGTATTTCTTCTTTCTTCATTTCTTTTGTGTATTGAGCTTCCCTTAGCCATTCTTTTAGAAAATCAAATCATCTGGCAATATTTTTATTTGCTTATTTTTACTTCTCCTTCATTGAAAATGTCTGGATTCTCCCTACATTCCTGATGATATTTTCTAGGTATAAGATTGTGGCTTGGGGCCAGGGACCTAGCTCAGCGGCACAAGGACCTGCCTGGCAAGCACAAGGTCCTGAGTCCTATTCCTGGTACCAAAAAAAAAAAAAAAGGAAGATTGTGGCTTGACAGTCATTTTCTTTAAAATTATTGTGCAACCAGACATGGTGGCACATGCATGTAATTCCATTACTCAGGAGGCTGAGGCAGGAGGATCACCTCATGTTCAACAGTGAGTTCAAGGCCAGTCTGAACTACACAGCAAGACCTCATCTCAAAATAAAACAAAACAAAATTATTATGCAATTTTTTTCTGGTCTCTTCAGCATCTGATGAGAATTCTGCGGTCATTCAAATAGTTTTTCTTTGGCTGCTGTTAAGGTCTTTTCCTTCTTTAGTTCTCAGATGTTTGATGGTGTCAGGGGCACTCGTATGGGTTTGCTCAGCTTCTTGGGTTGTGAGTCTATGCCTTTGCCAAATCTGAGTTGTCAGCTGGGCATTTGTAGCAGTGGCCTCCAGCCTCCCTCCAGGCTGTGCCAACACCAGTGCCAGCCTTTGGCCACAGGGTGTGTCCTGCAGCCCTGCGTGTCCCCAGTGCTGTCCACTGCTGTGTCTTCATCCCCCACATTCTGCTGCTAAGCCCACTGTTTAGGCTTTTTTCTTTGGATCATTGAATTTTCAAATCAAAATTTTCCATTTTGCTCTTTATACCGTCTATATCTTTCTTGAAACTTTCCGTTTCTTTACTGAGAGCTTCTTTTTATCTGCTCTGGGCATGCTTGCCACTACTTTTTGAAGCGCTGTGACCATGGCTGCCTTTAATCTTGGCTGGGCACTGAACACCTGTCTGACCTGGCACAAACTGATGGTCCTAGTTCTTCGTGTGATGACCAATTATCAGCCGCAATACAGTCGTTTCTTCTCACTTCTGCTTGTTTCTCTGGCTCCACTTGGCACCAGGAGCTCCACCAATGCTGAGAGGCAGAGGCCTGGACACCCCTGGGAACTGAGGGCCCCTCGTCACTGTGAGGTAGGCAGGAGCTCTGGCTCCGTGTGGCCTCCACTGATCCCATAGGCAGTGACGATGTTACACTGGGTGGTGGTTACCATCCTGAGTGTCCACTGGGCTGACCTGATGCCACCTTGGTGCCAGACAGGTGCCAAGGGCCTTCCTGGCTCTGCGTTCCTGTGATTCTCCAGGGAAGCTGCCCTCTACACAGTCAGTGGCCTGCCTACAGGCGCAGGGCCACTCTGATAATGCATAGGGCTGCTTCCAGAAACTCAAACTATCAGGACACGGGGGTCAAAAACAACCAGGAAGGACCCATATCCTATCAAGAGCATTTCTGTCTGTCACACCAGTAAGGCTGCAGACGCAGGTGCATTTGGGTCCTTGCCTCTGGAGTCCCAAGCCCAGGGCTCGCACAGGGAGATGGCAGCTCCAGCACCTCTGAGCCTGGGTGGCCCTCAGCTCTCAGCACCAGAGATGGGTGGTACTGGGGAAGAGTGCAGGCTAAAGCAGTGCAGCTCCTCCCGAGTGTCCTGGTACTGGTTTGCAGGCAAACTCTGAGCCATTCTGAAGGAAAAAGGCTGAGTAGTGGCTACAGGAGCCTTCCTTGTTTGTCCCAGAGAAACTGCATGGCTTACACGGGTCCCTGAGGGATAAAGCCTAGCTGTGACAGGAAATGAACCCTTAAACGCAATTTCTTGTGCAATATCCTAGGTGTCAGCACCCACGTTTCAGTTGGGCTTGGCCTTCGCACTTGCAAGCCCCTTGAGCTCATCCCCTTGCCTGGTCTCCCTGCCCGCCTCCCTGTGGAGAGGACACTGTAGACCTGCGCCAGCTGCAGGAAGCCTCTGAGTCCTGGACCTGGCTGCATGCTGGGCGCTCAGGCCATGGCAGCAGGATGGGTGGGGTCCAGTGTTTATAGCCGATCCCCATGTGCTGCTCACACATTCTTCCCACGGACCCTCAACACAGCACCTGGGAACAGGGGGGCTCAGGCCTCATTGAAACGCACCCTGAAGATGCCAGTAAGGAGCACACTCATGCCAAGCAGCTGCTGTCACGGTGGGTGAGCTCCTCCAGGGACACAGAAACCCACGGGGCACTGTCTCACCCCACCAAGGGGCAAGAGGGCATCATCCTCATACACAGGCTGGCCCCTTCCCCACTGTGATGCCAGTCTGCCTGCCATGGGGCAGGGGACAAACATCCAAGGTCAAGGGCTGCAGGGTCACTCTGGGCACCCAGGTCCTCTGCAGAAGCTGAAGGTTGAAAGGTTGTGTCCCAGGAGGGCGGGTGTGGCTGGCCCGGGCTGTTGTCTGCTTCTGACTCGTGTTTGTATTTCACCTCCTGAAGGAGCCAAGTAACAGTCACCAGCCGAGGGCATCCCAAGGGCACCCCAAGGGCAAGCTGGGGCTGCCAGAGCCAGGATGGGGGTGGAAGGCGCGATAGCAGGGACTGCGGCACAGCAGGGCAGGCGGCCCCTCCCTGTGTTTGGAGACGATGGCAGAGCTGATAGCCACCCCTCAGGTGCGGCCAGCCTGCTCCGGAGGAGACTATAAGAGCCAAGGGAGGGCGGCCCTCTCCACCTGGCCGGGAGCAGGAGGGGCTTCTAGACAGAGACATGGCAGCTCTGCAGGAAAAGAAGACCTGCAGCCAGAGGATGGAGGAGTTCCGGCATTACTGCTGGAACCCAGACACCGGGCAGATGCTGGGCCGCACCCCAGCCCGCTGGGGTAGGTGTGGGGGCTGTGGAGGGCGGTTCAGCCCCCTTCCCTGGTGGGCAGGCACGGGTGGAGGGCAGCACAGGCCCTGCAAGGAGGTCATGTGGGCACACAGCTTAGGCAGCCTGGGCCCCAGCTGATCCTGGAGGCAGGAGCACCATGTGGCCCTGAATTTCAACAGCATGTCTGAGAACAGTATTTTAAAAACCATGATTCTCAAAGTAAGTCTTTAAAGAATTTTAAAGGCAGCGATGGTGGCTCTCTGGTCAGATAATCTGAGGCACACGGAGCCGCTCATCAAGGAGCAAGTCTCTGGGACGCCCGATATGCGAGCCGCACTCGGGCGCCCCCTGCTGTGCAGTTGCGACTCAGCACCCGCTGGCTCCTCTCCATGTGCAGGACGCTGCGGCTCAGGGCTGCTGGCCGCCAGGTCCCCACCTGTCTGGCTGCAGGCGGCCACTTGAGCCTTTGGGGCGGAAATGTTCTCCCGACAACAGGCAGCCCCGCAGGGCAAGTCCTCCACAAACTGCTTAAGAGTCCAGAACAAGCGAATCCTCCTCATAACCCCTCAGGCCCTGGCAGCTGAGTGGGAGCCCAGGGACACCTTGTGGCCCCTGGGCCTCTGCAGTGCTGCCCTGTCTTGGGAGAGGGGATGATGGTGTCCCCACTGCTGTCCCTGGTCCCTGGGACCCCGTGGAGTGCCAACCCAGGCCCAACCTCCCAGACTGAAGGAATGAGGACGAGCCTATGGGTTTGCAGGGGTATTGTGGCTTGAGGGGTACCACTTCAGACAACCCAATCCCCCAGCTGGGCCACAAAGATGCCAATGATGCTTATTGTGTGCAAGCTCATTGTCTATACCTACGGGGACGTGGTGCAGCCTCTCCAAGACCATGATTCTCAAAAGTAAGTCTCTCATTGGGACGTGGCCCCCCACCTCTCTGATGTGACTTAAACAGCACAGCAAGCCCTAGAGCAGAAAGCAAACATGGCCGACGGAGCCCCAGACAGGGCTTAGGCGACAGGGATAGAAGGAAAGCAGAGAGAACATAGGCAGAAGTTGGGGTACAGGCCAGGTGGGTGGCACATGCCTATCAACCCAGCACTTGGAAGGCTGAAGCAGGAGAATGGCTGCAAGTTCAAGGCCAGTCTGAACCCCACAGTGAGTTCAAGGCCAGCTTGAACTGCATACTGAAACCCTGTCTCAAAAAGACAAAAACAAAAGAAGTTGTAGTATAGCTGCCACTATCCCCTCAGAGCTGTCAGGTGGGGTGGTCCTAGCCGCCAAGTCTCCCTGGAACTGCCCTGCTGGCCTCCAGGCCCCTCAGAACTTTCTGGAAAGGTCCCAGGCCCAAGGTGTGGGTGCAGCCTTGGGACCTGGGGCTGGGTCTCAGGGCTGAGGAAACCAGCCCGGTAAGACCACAAAAGCATGGGACAGGCTATTATTCCTGGGAGGCAAGGCCCAGCGACCACAGGGAGCCCCCCATCCCTCTAGAAGTCTGAGTACCATGGGGGCACAGTCACTCTTACCCCAGGGTTCCGAGGACAGGCTCTTGGTCAGTGAGTGCTGGTTGGGATGACAATGACCTGTGCAGCCAGGTGCTTCACCGTTAATGGCAAAATGCCCCCATGGTAAAATGAGCAGCACACGTAAGACTACTCCTCACTGTGGGTTTCCGCGTGCACAGAAGGTCTCTTATAGGGTGGCTTCTTTTCTTTTGTTCTTGGAACCGGGAATCAAACTCAGGACCTTGTGCTTGCCAGGCAGGTGCTGTGCTGCTGAGCTAAATCCCTGGCCCTGGGTGGGTTCTTTAGAAAAGCTGTGCCAATCAAAAGTATTCCAGGCCCTTCTTGCCCCCAACAAAGAATTGGACAAAACAAGCCAAAAGTTTACTTGAAAAGTGCGGGGTAAACAGCTATGGAAGAAACCAGCTCTGCAGAGCAAACTTGGGCTGAACAGAGAGAAAAAGAGGGCAGAAGCAAAGATAAATGTGCACGCCACATCTGAGAAACGTGATGTGGGCTACCGTGCAAACGCATGCTGGATAGCAGCTTTCAGTGATGGCTGCTCTTTTTTATGCCTTCCACATCTCATGGGAGCGCGACAGAAGCTCTATGGGGCCTGGCCTTGACCTGGCATCTTTTGATTGACAGGTCCTGCTCATTTCCCCCGACAGTTTTGCCACGCCCAGCTCCTACATCAGGTCCACCACAGGGTGGGACAGAAAATGTGGGAGGGACAGCCATGGGGACGGCACAGGCACAGGGAGCCACCAGGACAGGATGTCCAGATGCTGGCTCAGCAGGTCCCATGATAAGACTGGGCGGGGGCCGTGTAACAGCAGGAGCAGCTCTGCGGGGTGGAGGGTCTGAGGGCTGTGGGGAGCAAGTGGAGGGTCTGTGAGTAGAGGAACCGTAGAGGGGAGGGTTACGGTTAGAGGCGGTCTGTGGAGCGCAGAGGAGCGGTGAGTGGAGAGGGCTGAGGGGCACAGAGTGGGCATACTGACCAGGGGATGTGTGGGTGTGGAGGGTCAATGTGAGTTGAGGCCTGTGCTGTGGGCACTGCCCTGACCCCTGCACCATGGTTGTGTCTCTCCTTCCAGTGTGGATCAGCCTCTACTATGTGGCCTTCTACGTGGTGATGACTGGACTCTTCGCGCTGTGCATCTATGTGCTGATGCAGACAATTGACCCATACACGCCTGACTACCAGGACCAGCTAAAGTCGCCAGGTAGGCGCCAGGAGGTCGGAATCCCAGTGATGCTCGTGGCCAGGCACACGAACCCAGCTGCAGGCCAGGCAGAGAGGCCCCAAGGCCTCATTTGATGAGGAAGGCACCCTGGCTCATGGTCTGACTTCACGTGTAGTTTACTAGAAGAAGTCTTTTGTTGTAAAGACAAGTTGCCTTGAATCCGCTCATTCATGTGGAGCCGTGCACACAGGACACTTCGAGCGGGCAGGAGATGTCACCAGGAGAATGGGCTGCAGTGAGATGGCACTGGTTACCCTAAGCTGCTGAGGATGAGGAAAGATGGGGTCCTGCTGCCCTGTGGCCGGGAAACAGGGTCAAAGCCTTTCCCATAGGTTTTGCTTGTATGCTTTTGGGTTTTTTTGCAGTGCTGGGGATTGGGTCTAGGCCCATCACCCTGTGCTACATCCTCAGCCCTTTCTAAGTTTTTTATTTTGAGACAGAGTCTTACTAAGTCACCAGGCTGGGCCCAAGTTTCCAATTCTCTGCCTTGGCCCTGCAGAGTGTCAGGTGTACCGGCGTGCACCACCAGGCCCACTGCCTTCACCCTTTAGGGTTACTCCCACAGTTTTCTGCTTTAAACCGAGTACAGTTGTTACTTTCACAACACCCACCAAAACAACAAAGTGCCCCTTTTAGTACTTATAAAGCAGCCACCTCCAGGGCACAGGCGGAATCCAGTGCAGATCTGCCACAGGGCAGTCTTCGCGGTGTTTGTGGACCAAGCAAGCTGGTGGGGAAAGGCAAGTGGGTGGCAGGTGCTGCCATGGCAAGAGCCCAGGAAGCTCGCACCAGAGGACGTTTGCTTCAACTCCCTTCTCTCCTGCACTCTGGTTGTTATTTTTACAACCAACATGCCATCCAACTGCTTTTGTTTGTGACCAAAGCCAGGGGAGATTTTTTTAAAGTGCATCCAGATAGTTTGACTTAGGGACTTGGCTGCAGACTCAAGTGACACTGGGTACCCTGCTTGAGGCTTGACCAGGCTCAAGACCTGACCCTGCAGAGCACGTGCTTCTCAGGGACAGGTCGGGGTCTTATGCCAATTGTGCTGTCTGGCCGGCAGGCAGGGGTCCCAAGACCACATGTTGGCCGCATTTCCTCACCCAGAGGCAGCCCAGCCTGCGTCCTCCTCTCATGGTACATGAGGACCAGGCCCCGCCTTGGTCAGACATCCAAGGCTTTGCTTGAGACTCAGGCATAAGGCTGATAGGTGTGTGTGAGGCTGCAGAAAGCAGTCAGGTGGCGCTCTCTCCCCAGGGGTGACCCTGCGGCCCGATGTGTATGGGGACAGAGGCCTGGACATCTCCTACAATGTCTCGGACAACAGCTCCTGGGCAGGCCTGGTGCACACACTCCACAGCTTCCTGGCAGGTAGGCTGAGCCATCCACAGCTCGGGGTTCCGGACTCCAGGAGGTGTGCCAGGGCAGGGTGGACAGCAGTGCTGTGTCCCTGCAGGCTACACCCCAGCGTCCCAGAGGGGCAGCATCAACTGCTCCTCCGAGAAGTACTTCTTCCAGGAGAGCTTCGCGGCCCCAAACCACACCAAGTTCTCCTGCAAGTTCACGGCAGACATGCTGCAAAACTGCTCAGGCCTGGTAGACCCTAGTTTCGGCTTCGAGGATGGAAAGCCATGCTTTATCATCAAAATGAACAGGGTGAGTGCAGGGGTCTCCCCTGGAAGCTGTCCTGTTTCTTTGCACACTGGCTCGGCATGCAGGGGTCCTAAGCAGACAGGAGTGCCTGCTGGCCCCTGTGGCTAGGATACTGCGCAGACTGCAGTGGGGGCTGTGGGGCTGGCAGTGCCTAGAAGCCTCCCGTAGCAGGGTTTCTGCCTGGGTCAGAGGCCTGATGGCCAACTTCCAGGCCCAGGGTTGGCACCGCGGAGTCACCAGGGCTTCAGTGGTGCCTGGCGTTGTGCCCGAGGTGTGAAGAATCACATGTGCATCAGCAGAAAAGGCACAGTGCTGTACTCCTGTAGGCACAGGGCAGGGTGCCGTCCAGGCAGCGGCCCAAAGGGCAGAAGCTGCCCAGGCAGAGGCCCTTGGGTCACTGCTCCAGAGACGAAGGGTAGTGGAACTCCAGAGGCCGCATGCTCACGTCCACAAGCCACACGCTCATGCACTGCCACCATCCTGGGCTGGCCAGGGTCCTGCCAGGGCCGCGGTGGAAGTGCTGTGGCCAGGGCTCTGTCAGGGCCTCGGCAGCTCACAGCTCAGGATGGGACAGCAGTGCCTTTCCTTCCAGATCGTCAAGTTCCTCCCCAGCAACAGTACAGCGCCCCGCGTGGACTGCGCCTTCCTGGTGAGTAGATGTGAGGAGGGACTGCCTGCGCTGGTGAGCTCCTGGGGTGACCCAGGTCTCCAGACTGCCAGGGGCACACGGGAATGAACTGACCAGCTCTTAGGGATGCACCGCCTGTCACCCAGTCAGTCGGGCACACAGGGATGGGCGTCACCCAGAGACTGGCGGGTGAAGACCTTGCAGGAAGGAACGTGCTGTCACAGTCCTACCTTACAAGAGACACCAACTCCAGAATGCTTGGTGGCAGCTTGGGAAACACATCTCAGATCCCTGCAAGCGGCAGGCATTTAACCTGCGTTAGTGATGGGCTGTGAGAGCTGGCTTTCTTGCAAAAAAGAAAAAACTACCTTTCAAGTATGACGTGTAAAAGCTAAGCTTGTTCTCACTTGTGTTGTACCCTAAGCCCTGGTCCTCACGTGGGTCTGTGGACGCATCAGTCCCCAGAGCTTCGCTTCTCCCTGGGTTGCAGTGTTTGGCTCTTCCTTTTTCCAGTTAGTTTGGCCACATGTGTGGGCTGACCCAACACCTAATGGAAGCCAAAGCATCCTCCTGTTCTTTGATGAGCTCAAGCTCCAGGTGGGAATTCCAGCTCCTACCAGAACTGCGTTTGTGGTGACCTCAGAAAGCTGCACTGACTCAGAACGGCTAGCAGCTGAGCAGGCAGCTCCATCTCGCTGGAATGCGGCTCAGCCCTGCCACACTCTACCCACTGGGCCCCAGCGGGACTCATGGTGTGAAAAGCCCAGGCTGTGCACACTGCCAGCTTCCCTCTGGCTTGGCTCTCAGCAGAGGCTCTGAAGCCAACTGGGGGAAACCTGGGCATGGTGATGCGTACCCCTGATGCCAGCACCTGGGGGCTGAGGCAGGAGGACTGCAAGTTTGAGCCCGGCCTGGGCAGCTGAGACCCTGCCTCAAACAAAACACAGAAGAAGGGCTGAGGATGCAGCTGAGGCTGACATGCAGGCAGCGTGCACACGAGCCCTGCACACAGTTTGCTGCACGTTCACACGCGCGCGCACACACACACCTGCCAGCCACAGCCGTCCCCCGGCTCAGCTGTGGCTTCTCCCATCCAGGATGAGCCCCACCGGGACCCCAGGACCCTGCAGGTGGAGTACTACCCGCCCAACGGCACCTTCAGCCTACACTACTTCCCCTACTACGGGAAGAAAGCGCAGGTAAGACGCCTGCTCACTCTGCCCCAGCCACAGCTGCCCACAGCCTCACACTGAGCGCGAAGTGGCCCTTCTCACAGGAAGAAGGCGGCCCTGGCTGCTCAGCCGTCGGAGTGTCTCCCAGAGCCTGGCTCTCTAATACCCCAGAAACTCGCTCATCCCACGCAGCCCTAACTCCCTTCCCTTCAAGGGCTCCACAAACCCTTTTCTGCCCACACGCCCACCTGTGCCCATCCCCAGGCCCATCCTGTACTCCCACCCATCAGTCCCCGCACACCAGGCAGAGGCGGCCACTGTGAGTCGCCGGGGCTGGCTGGGCCTGTGGATCTGGCCGGGACACACGGGAGGAAGCCTCTACCGACCCACTGCCTGCCGTGTGTCAGGCTGCCAGCCCCAGGGCTCTCACCTATCTCCTGCAGCCCCACTACAGCAACCCTCTGGTGGCAGCGAAGCTTCTCAACATCCCCTGGAACTCAGACGTCATCATCGTGTGCAAGATCCTCGCCGACCACGTCACCTTCGACAACCCCCATGACCCCTACGAAGGGAAGGTGGAGTTCAAGCTCAGGATTCAGAAGTGAAGGCCGGGGCGGGGACCCAACTACAGCAAGTGTAGGCCTGCCCCTCCTGCTGCGATCTTGCCTGCCAGGGACCTGCCCACCACCTCGCACGCGTGGCAATGCCGAGAAGCACGCAGGTCCAGCTCTCGCCACAGCACCAGCCATTCCCTATCAAATCCGCATTCTGCTTTGTTTTCTTATTTTGAGACAGGGTCTCACTAAGTAGTCTGGGCTGGCCTTGAACTTGCCATCCTCCTGCCTCGGTCTCCTGAGTAGCTAGGATTTCATGCATGCACCTTGCACTGGGCCTTTTGCTGTACTTTGGAAGGAACCTCAGCCAGGATAAGATGTGGGGCTCCGGCGGGTGCCCAAAGGCCGCGCCTGCCCTGTGAACCAGGCCCAGTACCACTCGGCATCTTCCACATGGGCCTTCCCTCCTCACTCTAACTTGGTTTCTCCAGACTTCAACATGAACCACTGTTCACAGCACATAAAACTGTAGAAGCACAGGCAGCAAATGTGGTGCACTCTGAATTCTGCCTTCTAAAGACATATTTCCCACGGTACAAAAACAAGACACATTCAAGTTACTCTTACAGCCACGTTTTTCCCAACCTGGAAGAACTAAAAATCAAAACCTTCCTTCTTTGAAAGCCTCCTGTTTCGGTTGCAGCGCAGGGAACTTACGAGGCATCTGAGGACCACCACGCTCGAGGCTGCAGGAGCCAGCAGCGGGGGGTAAGGGGGGCTCAGTCGCCATCCACGGACAGGACTTGAACCCAGTTAGTCATAGCAGGGTCAGGGCTCATTTCACTGGGGTACATCCCTCCTCCCACACTGGCGCACCCATCCCACCAGCCCCCCAAACCTGTCCCTGTAACAGCAGGGAGCAGAGGGGCAAACAGGTAGATGCTCAGTGCGGGAAACGAGTGGACAGACAAGCAGCCGGGAAGCAAGCGCATCTCCTGTCATCACTTAGTCCGCGGGCACTGAACAGGCCTGAGCCCCACCCCAGGCCTCCTTCCAGAGCGGGACCTCGCCTCCCGTACAGACCACACGCAGTGGGGAGTGGCGATTCAAATAAAACCCTCGGGCTCCTCACTGTTTGTCATTGTCTTTCTGCTCCTCAGATTCATTCAGCATTTCTATCATTGGACTTTGTGTTCTCTGGCTCCCCTGTGACGTGCTCTAGGAAACTTCTGGCTTCATTTATTGTACTCTGCGCCCCTTGAGTTTTTTTCTGGGTTCTGTTAGGTTTTCAGTCTCTGCTGTGCTCTGCACATCTCTAATTTGTTCTCCGAGCAGCCTTGGGACATCTGTTTTGAGGACCCTGTCTGGGACACCCATGACCACACCCTTCCGGGAGCAACACCTGCTGACTCACTTTCCCTTTCAATAGCCACACGTTTTGCTGTGTGCCTTGTGACTTTCTGCTGAACGAGGGCTTTTGAATCTGCTACCATGCTGACGAGCAGCAGGATCTCTGTCTCTCCTGGGGTCTACTGGGCTTTCTCCTCGCTGCCGCTTTGGAGAGCACTGGCGCATCCCTTGCTGGGCCCAGCCTGAGGGTGGGCTACGGGTCTCTCTGGACCCTGCCCTGGGTGTGCACAATCGCTCTCCAGACTTCCCTAAACAGAGTTGTTTTCATAGCCTCATCTCCAGTGTCTGCTTCCAAAAGGGGAAAGACAAAAGTGAAGGGAGGGTTGGGAAGAATGGGCTGGCACTCCAAATCCCCTGAAGCCACCTCAGCCCAGGGAAGGTCCTGCAGCAAAGCGAGAGGAGCAGTGGCTGCAGCCAGAGCAAAGCCTGGAACTGAGGACGCAGGTCTTTTGCCCACCCTGCGGCCACTGGCTGTGTGCTTGGCACCCCAGGGAAGCCATGTGGCCTGCAGATGCCGGGCAGGCACAGCAGAGATGGATAGTGGAGCCTTTACCTTCCACACCTCTGCACGGGTAGTCCTTGGAGTCCTGAGCTCCTAAACTGTCACCTGTTGCAGATTCGGCCTAGTGATGCTGTCAGGCAGGCGACACCTATGCATCCCACACTGCCTCTCCCAGAATTTTCTCTCCATCTTATTCTTTTCTGAAAGACAAACCTACAAAATCTGCCCCAACTTTCAGGATAGAGGGGAGTCAAAAGTCCTGCAACAAAGGCACCCAGAGAGAAGGGCGCCCACTGTCCCACTCACCTGGCCTCCTTCCCTCAGCCCTGTGCCCTCCAAGCAACTTCAGGGGACCAAGGGGCGCAGGCCTGGACCCTGCTCCAGAGCAGGGGTGCACCCAGCGACCCCGTCTTTGTGCGGCAGCCTGCTTCTTCACCATAGTGTAAAACGAGACTACGAGGCAGTAATAATTTCCAGACAATAATCCTGAAATAAAGACAGAGCTTGCTTAAAATGCCCATGCGCGTTTTATTAATAAAAACTAACAGTGCCAAGTTAAAGTCAAACAATTAAAGTCTCTTTATATTCCATAAAATATTACAGAAAAGTTTATTTGTGTTTCAATAAAAAGACTATTGTTTCAGAACAGGCAGCTAACAGCAACTGTGCAGTTAACGTTTTTTTGTGAATAAATTTTAAAAGAGACTACTGCCTGTCCTTAAATTCCATTCTTTTTATAAAAAAAGAACTATTAAAAATGATTGACAAATTTTGAGTTAAAAAACTGTTAAAACATTCTCTATGTTTAATTTCAACTTTATAATAGATACATGAAGATGCTTGGGAAACAAACACAACATTTGTTCCGGTGCATGTCTTTAAATGACAGACTTATAAGTATGTAAACAACTATATAATAAAAAGTTTCCAAACGCGGCCTGTAAGAAATCAGGCAAATTTTATCATAAGCAATAACCCTTCCACACATTCCACAGCTGCTCCAGCGCGGCAGTAACGTCTACCAAACAAAAACAAAGCACGTCTCAATTAGTTGGTGCACCAGAAAAAGTGTGCAGGTATGATGGGTTTGCAACATTAACATAATTTAAGGAAAAGCAAAATCATAATAAAATTTATGGTGCTCAATATTTTAAACATAGTTTTGTTATCTGCTTGGTTCTTCCGCCCCCGCGGGATTTCACAGAGCGAAGACACGTCCTGGAGTCCCGCTGTCTGCCAGCAGGGGGCGCCACTCAGCACACCGTAAACGGGGCGCCAGGGCTGGGCCCCGCAGGACAGAACGGCGCTTCATTATTGTCACTGGCATGGGTGAAGTACAACGTGTTCAGAACCCCAGCAAGCACTGCTGAGGGACAGAAACCAACTCTGAACTAAAAGAAAAATAGAAAACAAAAGGTAAATAGAGGCTCTGCATCAGCACACGGCACCAAACACGCACGCGCGCGCACAGTCTCCAAACCGTGCGGAACAGTCCTTGCTTATCCGAGGTGCGCGTCTAAACCCACAGCTTACGGGCCTTCGCAAGGGAAGGCCAAAAAGAAAGAAAAACCCATGTTAAAAAAAGTTTCTCTTTTCTAAACAATTATTCCTGAAGCTGAACAGAGGAAGGGAGGCGGTGTCCAGTGTCAGTCGTCCTCGTCATTCTCGTTGAAGTCGTCATCGTCCTCGTCGTCCTCCCCGACGTAGGACACGGGCGTCTCCACCCGGGAGCCGCTGTACTGAGAGCCGTTGGAGCTGGTGGCCAGCGTCCCCTCCGCTCCGTTGCTCAGGTCGCTGTGGGGACAGGGCCGGCAGGGCTTTGAGTGGCGTGGCCACACCTCCCAGGTAAGGGCAGGGCAGATGCCACCCCACAAGGACGGGGCTTTGAGCGGTGCACTGGAAACAGAACAGTTTAAGAACCAGCGCCGCAGGGCCCACCCCATCCTGAGCCTCCTTGTACCCCACTTTCTGAATGCCGTGCTTCCGGCCACGCTGGCACGGGACCCACAGCACATGTGGGAAAATGGTGAGTCCTTCCTCCTGCACTCCCTTTGGCCCGTGGCTGGCTAAGGAAGCGGGCGTGGGCTGGACAGGACCAGGGCAGGGCCCGGCTTTGACGGGCAACCTGAGGCCAGGCTGGTAGTGGGCGCTTGCTCCACATACACAAGGCCCTGGGTTCAGTCTTCAGAAAAGGGCGGCACCCTAAACTCTGAGCCCAGGCCAGGCTGACACAGTGCACCAGGCGCTGCCCCATCACCCCTCGCTGTGCCCTCGTACCTACCTGGCCCGCACCCCAACACAGCCCTGTCCCACCCCTCAGAGTACCCTCAGTCTGCTCGCAGCCCCCACCCCACCCCATGCTGCACTCTTTAACAAGCAACTTGCACTGGAAACCCGGCCTGGCAGAACAGGTCAGAGGGGACAGATGCACCCACAAGGCACAGCCTTTGGTTTTCCTGGCAACTTCAAGCTGCCTGAAGGTGCTTTTGTAACACAGTACCCCGCACCTCTATCTGTACCCTGCCTCTACTGAAACTGGTTTTCTCAGGAAATGGCCAGAGCTTTGTTTCCCGTGTAAAAACTGACAAACCGGAAAAGTTTAGTCACTGAAGAGGGTGATTTGAAGGTGGAATTTCTAAAATCACTCCAACTACATTTCAACTACATACCCTTTGCTAAGACTTTGCAGGCCAACACCCAGGACGCAAGGCAAAGAACGCAGAGCTCACACAGGGTGCAAGGATGCCCCAGATGGCAGTCACCTGTCCCCAGCCTGCCACAGCCCAGCTCTTAGCCCAATGGCGGTAGTGTCCTGCACCTGAGACAAGCCAGGCCTCACTAGACCAACCCCTGATTGACAGACCCACAGCAACTAATTCCCCATTCTCAGACACACTATCTCTTACATTATCAGCCTCAGGATAAAGCAAAGCAGTGGGAGACCCTCAGTGCAACCCAGAAGCAACAAACTGCTGCTGTCAGACAGCAGGGCCTACATTTTAGCACTAATGCCAGGGACATCACTGTGCCCTGTGGACCACCAGGTCAAAGGTTAAACACACTCATCTAGGAAAGAAAGGTCTGTGCCCCGCACACACAAAATACATATAATATACCGTGCAGAGAACAGAATTCTACGTGTATGAGGCCCTCAAATGTTTGAAGAAAATGAAGAAAGACAGGACGGCCAGTTGTCCCTCAGTTCCCAAGGTTAAGGTGCATTTTGCCCCCTTTCCTGTGCTTTTAAAAAAAATAAAAACAGGAGTGTTATGGTTTGTGTCTGCATGTCCCCCCAAATCCTCATGCAGTCATGGGGTGGGCTCCTAGAGTTTATGATTGATCCATAGTTCAATGTTGGGATTATGGGTGTGAGTGCTACACCTGCCCTGGGGCAGACAGTTTGCATATGTAAGGGACAGAAAGAGGCTGCTTGCTGCCACTCCTCCCTTTTGCTCTTGCTATCTTCCGGTTGCCCTCTGCCATGTGCCACTCTGCCTTGGAGTCCACCGAGTATGGACTGAAACCTTCACAAACTGTGAGCTAAATGAACTTTTCCTTCCTTAATTTTGGGTGTCAGGTATTTTGTGTCAGCAACAAGAGAGAAGTAACCAAGACAAGGAGTCAATTTTAATTTTGGGGGGAAGAAGCCAACTGAGAAAAGAAGCCTTTTTCCACAGGGGAGGAGAGCATGCAGGTCCCAGCCTGTGCACCCCTGCCCTGGACGTCTGCCCATCCCAGCCCTGTGCTCACCTGGCAGACAGCCTCGTGCCGTTGGACGCAGAGCCTGCTGTTGTGAGAAACACGCTGCCGATGGACCCCTGAGCCATTTCTGAGAGGGAAAGAGAAGGACTGTACACAGCAGTGTGGGGGCGCCCGGCCGAGGCCTCCCAACACCTAGGGGCCAGCCTCCACGGGGGCGTGCCACAGCCAGGTCCCCACAAGGGACACACACCCTCAGCGCAGCACAGTGTAGGGAAGGAACCGCACAGGCCTGTCAGTGTTGCAGCTGCCACAGAGTAGGAAGTGGGGCCTCGGGTAGGAGACACACACCTAGACAAGCCTAGGTAATTTCCTTGGGGACCACTGGGTGGGGAGGGGCTCGGGGCAGGCCAGGACCCCAAGTCCCTCAGGCAGTGGACAGGCCACATGTCCATGGGCCAGGAGCCCTCCAGGATTTGCTGACCCCCTGGGGAATAAACACAGACCCAAGCTCGGGACATAGAGGACGAGCACCTTCTCCATGTGCCTACTAAAGAGCCACCCTCACAGCGGGGCCAGGACCCTGAGCCCTCAGCTCAGCCCAGTGAAAGCCCAGCACACAGTCAGACACCAGCCGCCCATGCCAATGTGCAGCCTAGCGGAGCAGCTCCAGCAGGACACTGAGCTGGCAGCCAGGCCCAGGCCATCGGCCACCTGGGGGCCACTGCACCAGCTACAGCTCAGAGGGCCCTGCTTCTCACTCTGGCTCCAACCCGGAAGACGAACTCTGACTTTTTTTCACGCCTGCAGCACATAAACCACTCAGGCCACTCGAGGACCCCAGCTCTCCGTCCAGTGGGAGGTGACGCCACAAAGCCTGAGCACAGCCAATCTCAGGACGTGCACTTGGCCATAAGGGCGCAACTGACCCGTCACATACGGCTCCAGAGCTTTGGGCACCAGGCTCCGTGCCATCTTAAGATCCTCGGCGGAGCAACTGCCAGACTCCAGGCCGCAGGCCATGCCCATCCGCTTCAGCACCTCGATGTCATCGTGGATCTCAAACGTGTTGTCGAAGTTGAACAGGTACTCGAATCTGCAGGACGGGCGGGGTCACAAAGCCAGGCCTCAGGCAAAGTCCCGCTCTAACTGTGCCCACCCAGAGCCCCCAGGCTCAGAGACCAAGAACAGGTGCTAGGGAATGGCACACGTCATCACACCCAGGCCGACATGTGCTGGGAAACCTCATGCCCCACAAGTGGCAGTGGGCCTGGCTGTGGCCACGGCAGGGGACAGCCTCTTTGTCACCATGCCAAGTCATGCGGCGAGCCCCGAGAACACGCCCCCACGCGCTGCCAGGACGTACTTGTCATTGGAGATGCTACAGTCGATGACAGTCTTCCTGCTGGTGTTGACGATGATGAAGGGCAGGTGGATGACGGAGTTGGGCGGCGGTGGCCGGCGGGCCTGCTGCTCCACCTGCCGGTTTCTCTGCACCAAGTTCTTGAAGGCGATTTGCTGGAAAGAGGGAGAGCCAGTCTGCATAGCTGTCACCAACGGTGCCCAAGCTCTACCCCCAGAGGCAGCTGCCCCTGCCAGGTCACGGCAAGAGGTAGGCATGTGGGCCCTTGGGGCATGAGGGCATCTGCCCCATTCCATGGGGTACTGGGATTAGGTGTTTTTTGTTTTTGTTTTTTTTTTTTGGTAGCAGAAATCGAACTCGGGAGCTTGCATTTGCAAGGCAGGTGCTTGTGCCACTGAGCTATATCCCCAGCCCTTCCATGGGGTACTGGGACTCACCAGTGAGCCCAGATATTGGGAGCTAGGCTCCCCATCTGGCCACACATGTGGCTAGCACGAAGCCTGGCCCTGCGCCCCGAGGGCAAGGGTGAGGCTACTTCCCAGATGGGGTGCCAAGGAGGCCCACCCAGAGAAGTGCCCAGTGCCCATACGTGGAGCCATGCCAGACAGGCTGGGTGTCATGGGAAAAACAGGTGATGAGGGCAACACACTGAGCGTCAGGTAGCGGCCCCCACCTCCTCCTCCCTGTGTGGGGATCAGGCTGGGACCCCAGGTTTCCCAGGTCCTCTTAGCGCCACCCCACAGCAAGCCTCCTACATACTTCATCCACACCGCTGCCTGTGCCCAGACGGGACCCTCAACTCTCCTCGGGGAAGCCCAGATGTGGCCACGTAGTGTGGCCCTGATGTCTGTGCTGTCCCTGACCAGCAGCTACTAAGGCTTGAGGCCATCAGATCACACCACACATCACCAGCACCTCAGAGCAGAGGCCCCAGGGATGCTGCCACCCAGACTGGGCCACGGAAAACTCACACTCATGCTGCCCATGTGTGCACACACTTGCACCGGCTCACTCCTTGCACACATCTGCCCACACGTGCACAGACCTGTTTACAAATTCACGCTCACATACCTGCTCACAGCCACGCCTGCTCACTCATACTTGCTCATACTTGCACACACCTCCTCACACTCGCACATGCTCACACTTGCAGAAGCTCACACCTGCACACCTGCTCACACATCCGCTCATGCTTGCATACTCTCCCGGCGTCCTCCCAGCGCCCACCTGCAGGATGAGCTCCTGGAGCTGGGCCTGCTTCTGCTTGATCCTCTCCAGCCGCCGTTGCCTCTCCACCTGTAACACACACAGAGGGGCCGTCGCCGCAGCCGGCACAGGCCACCATAAGCCCAGCCCAGGCCTCCCCGGAATCCAGTCATCACCGCGTGCCAAGCACGCAAGGCTCCTGCTATCCAGAAGTACCCCGCTCCCCTGTCCCTGTCCTGGATGTGGCCGTGGTGTATTTAAATCCCACAAAGGAAGGTTGGGAATTAAGCTCCATTCAAGCTCAGAGCTCAGTCAGCAGGGAGCAGAGGCACCTGGGTTCCAGCACAGAGGTCACGGGGCAACACTGAGACCCTCCCGGGATCAGGACAGCACGATGCCTGTGATACATGGAAAAGGGGGGTTAGGGTGCACCTCGAGGTTCTGGCATTCCTGAGCCGAGTTCGTGGGCAGGCCAATCCACTTAATCTCCTTCTTCTCCTTGGAGATGATGTTCATGGCCATCAGCACGTTTAAGGCATCGTAGACTCGCCTCCGTATGTTCTTCTGATCATAAGCCTGAGGAGACAGCAATGACCTTCCAAGCGACCTGAACCTTGCCAGTGACCATCATGCACCTCCAACCCTGAGTGCATCCCCAGGAGGGCCACTGGGGCCCCTCAAGGAACATCACTTTCAGCCATGCTGGGGCCACCTGTCCCCATACCGCCCCAGGACCCTCCGCACCTGCCCCGCACTTACAGACTCATTGGGCAGGATGTGGTTGTCGGCAGCACTGAACTCTGCGACCAGCTCATCAGCCACCTCGTTATAGGAGGTGGTGCCCTTGCGTTGCACCTTCTCACACACCTTCATGGAGAAGTGTCGCAGGCCCTTGCCGTGCTTCTCGCCCTTCCTGTTCCGCTTCCTGCAGAAGGACAGGGTCAGCCCTGGGTCAGCCCTACACCAGGACCCACAGGCCCTGCGGCCCACCGATCCTTGCCCAGAGCCTCAGGATGGCTCTTCCTCAGCACACAAGGACACAGCAAGGGGCGTCCCCCAGTCAGAGTGGGGCATCTGCAAGGCAGAGGGCATCATGGCTTGGCACCCACCATGCAGAGCCACGCCCACCTGGAGATGATGACCAGCCTCAGACTGCCACAAATTTTAGTGCAATTTAGGAATTTTCAGGGCTCATCTTGGCAGGCCACAGTGTCATGAGGCACATGTTTGGCTGACAGTCCTGTACCCACAGAGGGTAAGGAATCCAGTCATCACCGCGTGCAAGTGTGAGTGAGCAGGCGTGGCTGTGAGCACGTGGCTGGGTACGTCGCCACATGGAGGACAAGAGTGCCTGAGCTCCTGACAGCTGCGCTTCGGGCATAGGTGGTTTTGCCGCAGACCTAAAGCAGACCCTGTCTCACAGCTATGTTTGACCTAAAGCAGACCCTGTCTCACAGCTATGCTTGAGTTTTTGAGCAAAGACCCGGCTGACTCTCAGGAGAATCACTTCTAGGTCAGATGCTGGAAGTGCTATGGCAGCATAGCCTGGTGGGGCCATCCATGGGGCACAGCTCAGCATCACACAGACCAAGCCCAGTCAATCTGCCCACAGCAGCCCACACAGACAGAGGGCAGTTTTGTGGTGGGTGTGCTATACACAGGAGAGGCGACCTCCTCCTCTCCATGGCCTGAACTCCTGATCCTCCAGGTGGAGGGTCAATCCCACCTCCTCCCGCTGCCAGCTTGGCCCTTGATGCACAGCCACGCAGGAGGGTCAGGAGCCCAGGCTCCCCACCATGTGACCCTACAGAGGGTGACCTTCCAGGCAGGCATGGGGGCCACAGGGGGCACTCACCCAGCAGACCACGGCGAGGACTCAGAGGGCTGGCTCTGGGACACAAAGTGCGTGCTCGGGGTGTGTGGGCTTCCAACCACAATCGTACTGGACGCTGCCGGACGCTGGGGCGTGCCGATCACCTGCAACAGGAAACAGTTCGGGCAGTCAGTGACCTCCCGCACCTAACCACTGGCTTTTGTCACCTCTTGTGCCTGCAGCTACAAGAAAGGACAGAAGTGACGATGCCCTGCGGTAGCTGCTCCTGCCCTGTGGTTCTGAGCCAGCGCAGACTCTGTCTTCTAATGTGAACAGTGAAGCCATCCACATGAGATGAGGAGACAAAGATGCACCCACCAAAGATGGCAGTACTCACACTGTGCACGGACTTGGCGGCAGTCAGATTTAACAATGGGGCACTTAGCCATGTTTGTAGTTTTCCTCTTGGGCTTTTACTTCTTTTCAATAAGACAGATAATCCAGGCTAGGCTACACAGTGAGTTCCAGGCCAGCCAGGACTACACAGTGAGTTCCTGGGTCACAGTGAAGTGTCCACCACCTCCAGTAGAGCGGACACAGACACACCCTGCACCACCAGTTATGGTCTCAGTGTCGTCTCAAAGGCCTTGCTGCAGGGCCATCTTACTGACTTCTCTTGGTAAATGCCCTATATTTAGTTTACTACGAAGTGTCTCAGCCATCACATGCCATAGGGGCTGCAGCTGTTTCAGTTAAGGGGACTGAAGCCACATGCCTGTCTGCTGGGACCGTGGAGGCTCTGGGTCGTGAGCTTGACTTGCCCTGTGGCCACCCTCTGTAACTGGCCACAAAGTCAAATTAGCAAAACTAGCAAAGCAAACACAACAGGAGAGACATATCTCTTGGGGTCAGAAAACACCTCTGGAAGATTCTGCCCTGTTTGGTGGATGTCAGGTGCGTTTGGGAGCTGGGGTCACAGTGGGGACACATGCCTCTTGAAGTTTAGAGCTGTGTGGTCGGAGGGGACCACACAGCAAGGCCACCCAGGTCTGAGCTCAGCTCAGCTCCCAGGGAAGGCTCGGGCTAGGGCCTCCGCTCACACAGGCAGAGCTTGCCAACCACACTTACACCATGGCATCCCCAAGTCTCGATGTCAGCTCCCCCCAAGAGCCTGCAGGAGGACCACAATGACAGAACCCATGCTTCCCTGACCTCAGGCATGGGAGGCCCTGTTTAGCCATCTCCCCAGCCTGCACTGTGCAGCTGGGACACATGCCATGGGCAAAGTCTCTCTTCCCACTTTTGCTGCTAAGCAGCCCCTGTGGACCACCACATGGGAGGGATGGGCAGCCAGGATGCTGTCTGCACTGCCCAAGGCAGCCCTGTACCCACGCCCCGTGCTATCAGACAACACGCGCACCCCTCGACAGCTGCCCAGGATGGCACAGATGCCCCTACTGGCTGAGTGTGTGCTTCGTTCCCATGGCCCGAGGACAAGATGTGAGACGGTCAGAGGACATCACAGGGGACACTTCCCTCCACCCCCAATGCACCCTCCTCCCCTCTGCACAGGCACCACAGCACCCCAGGAGCCACATGGGGCTGGCAGGAGGCAGGACCCCACTGTCACAGATTTGATTCACACCTCACACAGGGAGGGCTGGGGCCCTCGGAAGCAAAGGCTGCTTTCTCGGGTGGAGACGGCCTGGTCTCCGTGCCTCACAACTGGAGGTGCAGGAGAGGTGACTGGGTCATGGATGCCCCTGTCTCCTACCCTCACTGCCAGGACTGGAGCTGGCTCAAGGAGGGGAGGCCGTGGCTTCAGACCCTATCCTGCTGACGTGTGCCCCTCACAGAGACCCTTCCTCTATGCAGCTGGCCATACTGGCACCTGAGGGACCTAGGTGTGTGGTTCTGTGGGGGCAGGGCGAGCGTTCACCACTGGGTGCACTCTGGTTGGAAGGAGATGCTAGGGCATCTCTTCCGGAGTCTGTACCTCAACCCCACGTACCCTAAAAATTGCAATCCAGATTGTCTCATTGGACACTATGATTCCACCTACATGAAATTCAAAGAACAGGAAAAGGCCTGGAATCCATCAGGAAGGTCATGGGTGGTGAAGCCATCCAGGACGCGGAGCATCCAACCAGCTCTCCTCTAGCGAAGGGCTGCCTCACGCGGGCACCTTGCCTGTGCCCTCTTCTCCTAGGCCTGACTGGGACAGCGCAGGACCCAATGCCCATCCAGGACAGTCACCTCAAAAGGGCAAAGCCTCACTGCCCACATCAGAATAGCCAGACTGCCTTTCCAAACCTTCAGTTATACAAAGGTTTCAAATCACCTGCAACACATAAGCTTACTTCACATGGGTGCTGTTTCAGAGCTCAGGAGGGCAACCACAAGCCCAACCCACAAGGCTCAGCTTGAGCCAGGGGTCTGGCCCACATGAGGAAGCCCCCCTGCCTCAGCCACCTGCTCCTGGGCACCCCTTCACCCATGCCAGGCAATAGGGAGCCACTGCTACGATGAAGGAGCTGAATTTTGCTGTCACATGACGCACGGTACCTACCCCATCAAGCTAGAGAAATGACAAAGCAGAACAAAACTGGGTCTTTCCGCTTTATCAAGTGGTACTGAAAAGCAGAAACACGCACACATGGTTGCTTTCTCTGAAGAAATGTGGTACACAAAAAAGTTACCCAGGAGACAGTAGCACAGAGAACCCACCCAGGACTGCTTCTGGGGATGGGGAACCCACGGGAGGCTGCGGAGACCGGGGACACCTGCAGGCTAGTGCCATGCCTCTTACTCCAAACACACATCCTCTCCCACCTGGGGGTGGACATCCCTCAGAGGGCATGGGACTGTGTGGGGACACAGGATGGGGAGCTGGGCAGCTGGGAGCACTGAGGGAGCAGCAGAGTGCAGCCAGAGCCAAGAGGCATGGGTATCACTGAGGCCCAGGACTGGGCGGGTCCCAGAGTGAAGCCTGCAGACCAGATTGCCAGGAAGGCTGAGCACCTCCAGGTCCGGAGCTGGGTCTGCTGTGAAACCCACCTGCCTCTGCAGGGTCTGCATCTTCTTCCCTGACACCCAGCCTGACAGGAGAAAGGTGCTGGCCCCTACGCCCAGGATAGCCACCGGCAAGGCACAGTGGCTGTGGGGAGGTCAGACGGTGTCACTACAGAGTAGCCTTGCTACCCAGCACTCAGGATGGTGCAGGCACAAAGGTCCGGGCAAGAAGCTGGCTCAGGCCTGGGTCACAGTCTCTGCTACACCTGTCAGGGACGCCAGGAACACCCCCCACACAGGGCAATTTCTGTCCAGTCACAGAGGGGACAGGCACTCCAAACCAGTCAGTCTACTGCGGGATGACAGCGACCCAGCCAGCAGCCACCACAGGACATCATCCACCCTGGCTGGCACCCGCTGAGGGCTGTCAGCAACCTGGCCAGTGTCTACACTCTTGGAACTGGCCTGCAAGCACACACGCCCCTCACACGCAGGCCCACCCTCCACCTTACCACTTGCTGCGTGATGTTGACATTGGACTGTCCGAAGGTTTTGGGCAGGAGCTGCTTCCCAAGCGTGTTCACTGTGGACGGGTGGACGGCCACCAGGGACACCACACCTGCAATACAAGGGCACAGGTCTGGGCCATGCTGCTCTGTGAATGAGCCTAAACACAATGGCTTCAGGAGGGCAATACTTCCTGAACTTCTGCTCTGCGGGAGAGACCCCAAGAGCTCAGCTCTCAGCTCTCCGCCCATCCCTCTGTCAGCTCTCCCCCTGGGCTGTACGGACCAAGCTGTGCCCAATGTCCCCAACCGCTAGCTGGATACCAGCAGCCCTGCTATCTTTGACTCAGGTAAAATGGCGTTTCCCTTTGTTCTCATCTGGCAACGTAAGTTAGACATGTGTAACATGGGATCCTGATAAAGATGCCACACACGGTCGTTTGTGGGAGGCATCTCAGTTACAAGCTGAGGTAGTCATGACATGGCCCAGAAGCAGACTCACTAGGGACACTGCTCTTTAAACAGCACAATATACTGAGAAGTCTTTTAAGGAGCTACGCGGTATTGTTCATACATATGCAGTTCCTCAAAGTGAGTGTGAGTATTACAAACATGTTCTAAGAAACTAAAAAAAGGTTTCACATATAGCTTTATGAGTGGTCTGACTACTACAATCCTTTAGCAAAACAAGAGATTCTAATTTTTCATATTTTACAGTTGCTAATCATATTCCATTCATATCTACAACTTAAGATACCAAGTTATAAAATCATATAGTGTTTTCTTAAACTAAGTATTTTTAAATTTTTAAAGGCTAATATTCTGGTTTTTTAAAGTAGATTTTGAGTATGTTTAAAGTACCCAGCATGCCCTGACAAAAAGGGTGGGGACGAAGAGCAGGGGCCAGAGGGAGGCAGGTCTGTCTCCGTTCATAGCCACAGGTCTATTTTTTTGTGCCAACACCAAGTTGTTTTTACCACTGTAGGTGTGTGACATAGTTTGGAATCTGGGATTGTGGTGCCTCCTGCTTTGCTCTTGTTGCTCAGAATTGCTTTTGTTATTCTCAGTGGTCTCTTTTGGTTCCATATGAAATTTAGGATTGTTTTCTCTACCTCTGTGATGAATGCTGTTGGTATTTTCATTGGAATTGCATTAAATCTGCTTACCAGTTTGGAAGTGTGGCCATTCTGACAATATTGGTTCTGTCTATCCAGAAACAGGAAATATCTTTCCATTTTCTGATGCCCTCTTCGAGCTTTTTCAGAGGACTGCAATTTTCATTGAAGAGGTCTATCACTACCTTGGTAAAGTTAATTCCTACGTACTTCCTTTTTCTTGGTGCTATTCTGAATGATTTTATTTTCCTAATTTCTTTCAGTGAGTTCATTATTGGGGTAGAGGAACATCATTGGTTTTTTTGGTCTTTCGAGACAGGGTTTCTCTATGCAGTTCAGGTTGGCCTTGAACTCACTTTGTAGCCCAAGATGGCCTTGAACTCGCACCGATCCTCCTGCCTCAGCCTTTCAAGTGCTGGGATTACAGGCATGCGTCACCATGCCTGGCTCACTACTACCCTGCTACATTGTTGAATTTGGCCATTAATTCTGAATCTTTGGGTGGGAATTTTTTATTTATTTATTTATTTATTTTTGGTGCTTCAATGTTGAGGATCATGTCATCTGCAAATAATTCTTCCTTTCCTAAATGTACCCCTTTCATTTCTATCTTGCCTGATCTGTCTAATGTTTTGAGGACGGGTATCCTTGTCCTATCCCTGATTTTAGAAAGGAAGCTTCCGTGTTTCCTCAGTCTGACGTTTGTCACAAGTGGCTTTCATCAAATTGAGGTAAGGCCCCTCTACATCTATTTTCTTCAGGGTTTGTATCATGAATGAATATTGGATTTTGTAAGAAGTTTTTTCTGCACCTACTGAGATGATCATGTGATTTTTGTCCTTGTTTCTGTTTATGTGATGTATTACTGAGCATTTACTGATTTACGTATGTTGAAACATTCTTGCACTCCTGGGGTGAAGGGGATGAAGCCTACTTAGACATGACGTATCATCTTTCTGATAATGTGGTCCATTCTGTTTACCAGGATCTTGTTGAAGAGCCTTGCATTTCTGTTCATTAAAAGATTGGCTGGCAGTTCTCTTTTTTGGCTGGGTCCTTTTCTGGTTTTGGAATAGCAGTAATGATAGCTTTCAGAAAAGGCTTTGTGAGTACTCTTTCCCTTTCAATTTCATTAAAAAATTTGAGGAGTATTGGTGTTAGATATTCCCTGAATTTCTTGTAAAATTCAGTGGTAAATCCATCAGGTCCTCGGCGGTAAGCTTTTTAAATTACTGCTTCAATTTTATTACCTGTTATTGGCTTACTTAGGGTTTTTACATCTTCTTGGTTCACTTTTGATAATTCATATGTATCTAGAAATCTATCCATTTTTTCTGGATTCTCAAATTTATTGGAATACAGGATTTCAAAGTAGTGGTATCTATTGTGATTTTACCTTTTACGTTTTTAACTGCACTGGCTTGGATTTTTTGTAAAATTGGCTAAGGGCTGTCTATTTTGTTTGTTCTTTCAAAGAGCCAATTCTTTGATTTATGGATTGTGTTTGTATATGTGCTTTAGTTTCATTTTCATTAATTTCTGCTCTGACCTTTGTAATTCCCTTCCTTCTGTACTAGCTTTCTTGTTTCCTAGGACCTTCAGGTGTATCATTGGGTTATTTATTGCAGCTCACTCTGTTTGTCTGATGTTGGCATTCACGCTATAAACTTCCCTCTTAGGACTGCTTTCATTCTGTCTCACAGGTTGTGGTATGTTGTACTGGCGTTATCATTTGATTCTAGGAACTAACGTCTTCCTTGACTTCCTCTGTGATGCACTGATTATTCAAGAGTATATTATTTAATTTCTACTTGTTTGCATTATATTTGTGGTTTCTTTTGCATTGATTTCTATTTTCATCACAGTATGACTTGATAGTATGTACGAGATAATTTCAATTCTTTTGCATTTACTCTTTTTTCTGGCTTTTTTTTTTTGGAGACAGAGTCTCCCTATGCAGTTCAGGCTGACCTTGAGCTCACTTTGTAGCCCAGGCTGATCTCAAACTCACAACAATCCTCCTGCCTCAGTGCTGGGATTACAGGCGTGCACCACCATGCCTGGCTCTTTTGCGTTTACTTAAGTATGCGTTATGGGCTAGTGTTTTGGGGAAAGTTCCATACACTGCTAGGAATGTGTGCTCTACTGTTGGGTGGAACAATATTAACATGTTCCCATCAGTTTGAACCACAAGTGGTTCAAGCCGGCAGGAAAGTCACACATTCAAGTTAGAGCCAGCCAGCAGCAAGACAGGAATTACAGCTTCACCATGAACACGTTAAATCCATTTGCTTAAAGGTTTGATTCAATCCTGATATTTCATTATTGGTATTTTTCATCTAGGTGATCTATCTGTGACAGTGGGATATTAAGATCCCCCACTATAACATGCTGATACTTATTTCATCTTTATATCCAACAGCATTTGTTTTATTTAGTGGGATGTGCCAATGTTCAGGGTACATGCGTTTATAATTAGTATTTCTTTCTGTTGAATTTTTCCCTTAAGCAATACAGAGTCCCCTTCTTTGCCCCTTCTGATCACTTTTGTTTGAAGTCCTCTTTGTCTGAAGATAGGATAGCTTCTCCTGTGTGTTTCTAGGTCCCCATTGCATGGAATATTGTTTTTCATCCTTTAATATTTAGTCCATGAATTTGTTATTGGGTTAAAAGTGCTTTTTGTATACAGCATACTGTTGGATTTTGTTTTCTGATCCATTCTGCCAATCTCAACCTTTTGATTGAGGAACAGAGACCATTCATATCAAGAGCTATTACTGAAAGGTATTTAATACTTTCCGTCATTGCATTATTTTCCTGTTTTTGATTTCATTCACCTGTATTCATTTCCTTCTCTGGTATATTCTTTTTTTTGGGGTACCAGAAATCGAATTCACAACCTCACACTTGCCAAGCAGGTGCTGTGCTGCTGAGCTATATCCCTAGCCCCCTAGTGTATTCATTGTATTATAGACTTTTTAGCATTGTTGGCTCCATTATCTCTTTCTAGAATATCCATGAGAATTTTTCAGAGTGCTAGTTTCGAGGTCATGAATTTCTTTAGATGTTCTTTGTCATGGAGAGACCTTATTTCTCCATCTAGTTTGGTTTCTTTGCCTTTTTTTTTTTTGAGACAGGGTCCCACTATGCAGTTCAGGCTGGCCTTTTAGCTCACTTTGTAGCCCCCACTGGCCTTGAACTCACAACGATCCTCCTGCCTCAGCCTCCCAAGTGCTGGGACTGCAGGCATGCACCACCATGCCTGGCTTTCTCCATCTATTCTGAAAGACAGTTTTGCAAGATGTATCAATCTGGGTTGGCAGTTTTTTTTTTTCCCTAGGGCTTAAAACTCTTCAAACTTTCCTGGCCTTTGACGTTTATTTTGAGAAGTCTGCTTAATTCTAGTAGATATATCTTTATAAGTGATTCACTGCTTCATTCTAACAGCTTTTAAGATTCTATCCTTGTGTTGGACTTCTGGGATTTTGATTACAATGTGTTGTGAAAAGTCTTCCAAACATGCCTACTTGGGATTCTACATGCCTTATTTTCTATATGTTAAATTCTTTCCCCATACTTATAACATTTTCTATTATTTTTGTAAACTTGTTTCTTATGCCATTTGTGCTGTCTTCTGATTTTTCACAATTCTAGTCAATCTTAATCTTTTCTGTATCATCCAGCAGTTGTTGGATACATTTTTCATGTTCTCCCTTTGTTTCTAAGATATCTCTGAATATTCCAGTTCTGATACTGTTCTCATATTGGTCACTCCTACTCCCTACACTTTCAAAAGAATTTTTAATCTCCTGAATTTCTGTTGGTAGCTTTCTATTAACTCCAATTCTTTGCTAACATGCTCATTTATGTTTTGTATCATTTTGTTTAGCTCAGCTTTACTACTAATAAAACACTTCATCAGTGTTTTCTGCAAACTCAACCAATTATTTTGTTTATTTTTAAAGAGAAAAAAATAAAACAAAATTTCAAAACAAGATAATAGGAGGGTAACAATGGTTAATACATTGCTTATTGTTATCTTTAAATTAGTCAGAGTACAACATATCAACATTTAATTGTCCAAAAAACATTAGCACAAAATTTTCTTTTCAATAAACTAAGAGAAATTAGTAGTATAACTATCTTAACTATCTTTTATATATATTTTTTTTCCTTTTTCACTTTTCCTTTCATTCTTTTCCCCATTCCCCGACCCCCTCATCCCAGTTTCTCTTTCCTTTTGAAGTGTTTTCCCATTTTACAATATCTATTGTACATGTTTGATTTATTCTGTTTATTACGTGTTTTATGCTTAGTTATATTATCTTGAGCTCACTGAGCATCATTATTATTGATTTTTTAAATCTCCTTTATCATTTCTAATAATTCAGCTGTGTGGGTTTTGATTTCCTCCCCACTAATGCCCCAGGGATAAGCTCTGGGGGATTTGGAAGTTTTAAGAGACATTTTTTTGGCCTTGTCTATTCATGTTTGTGTGTGTGTGTTGTGTGTGTGTGTGTGTGTACACATGTGCATGAGCACATGTGCACACACTGAAGTCTGATGTACTACCATACAGAGAAAATCAATTAATAGCAACTATGCCACTCTGGCTACATCAATAAAATCAACAACAATGAAGTCAAAGACAAACTGCATATTGACATAACATAAGAATGAATAACAGCCATGCCTGGTGGTACACATTGCAATCCCAGCACTCAGAAGGCTAAGGCAGGAGGATCACCACAAGTTTGAGGCCACCCTGGGCTACAAAGTGAGTTCAAGGCTAGCCTAAACTGCAGAGTAAAACCCTGTCTCAAAAAGACCAAAAAAGAACACATAATGTACTACTCTTAACCATAGAAAAAGGTCTATAGTTATAGTATAAATACAAAGACAAACCAATACTGATACACAGTAAATCAACAACTATACTTCCAATAATAGAAAAGAATTCAACAGTAATAGCAAAAGCTAACTAAATATCTAAAGATTAATAGAGCTTAATGGTTACACTAGTAAAGATGGAGTGAGGAACAGGAAAAAGAAGTTGTCTTGGTTACTTTTCTCTCATTGCTCAGACAAAATACCTGATGCCCAAAATTAAGAAAGGAAAGGTTTATTTAGCTTACAGTTTGTGGAGGCTTCAGTCCATACTTGGCTGGCTCCAAGGCAGAGTGCCACATGGCAGAGGGCAAACATTCATGGCAGCAGAAAACAGCAAAGGCAGCAAGAGCAGAAAAGAGGAGTGGCTGCAAGCAGCCTCTTTCTCTCCCTTACATATGCAAACTATCCATCCCAGGGCGGGTGTAGCACTCACATCCATAATCCTAGCACTGGACTATGGACTAACAGATAAGGGAGGTGGACTATTGGACCAAAAATCTAGAAGCCCGCCCCATGACTGCATGAGGATTTGGGGGGACATGCAGACACAAACCATAACATTCCACCCCAGCCCCTCAAATACTCATGCACATTCCTTTATAGAAACAGCATGTCAGTCCATCTCTAAGAGTTGCCGAAATCCTGACAGGTCCAGCATTGCTGAAGAGTCCAACTCCCAAATCTCCTCCAAGATATAAGGCAAACTCTTTAACTGCAAGCCCCTGTACAAATGAAAAGTTAAACACTTCCAGCATTCAATGGTACAGAATGAACATTACCATTCCAAAAGCCACAAACAGAGGCATACAGAGCATTAGGACCAAAGCAAGTCCAAAATCCAGCAGGGCTAACACTATGTCCTGTAGTTCCACATCCAGCATCTGAAGCAACTTGTGGCACATTGTGAGCTCCAAAGGGCTTGCATAATTCCACACCTATGGCACTTCCAGTGGTTACAGCTTCCATGGCTTCTCTCTTGGGCCCACTTTGCTCCCTCCTTGCAGCTTTCCTCAGACAATCCACGTTCCTGGCCTTTCCAAACTTCTGAGGTCTCCACTGCACCTTTTGCTTCACACTCACAGGTTCACACACTGCCCTCTCAAGGGCACACTGCCTGGCCTCTCAGGCCTTCTTCTGAAATTGAGGTGGAAGCCTCTTTAACCTCAGAACTTTGAATTCTTTATGCACCTAAAACCAGCACCACGTGGATGATGCCAAGGTCTGCTGCCACTTGGAGCAGCAGCCAAGCTTTTCCCTCTCTTGGCCATAGGGGTCGAGTGCCTGGATGGCTGGGCACTCTGAATCCAATTCTGAGGAGCAAATTCTCTATGCCGCCACCATTCTGGAACATGGCACTCTGTGGCTTTCTTCTCAAAGCAAAGTCTTTCACCTTTGCAGTTTTGAGGCTGCAAAGGGTGGAGACTTACTGCTTCTTTTGATGCCCTCAGGCCATCTTTTACATTCTCCTATTCCTCCTGAGCAATGGAGATCTCCTCAGCTCTACCTTTGCAGTCCACAGCTTTACTGGAGCTTCCTTTCTGGCCAAACTCACATTTTAAACCATCCTGCTGGGCTCTTTACTCTTGATTCTGAACATAAATCTGGCTAAATCCCTCAACAACAGCCATGCCACTGCCCCAACATTTGACTGCCTTGAAATTTCTTTTGCCAGATTAATCAGTCCACTGCCCTTAATCTCAGTCTCAGGCAAAGTCTCTGAGCATGAGCAAACTGCAGACAAACTTTTTGCCAAGCCATAACACACATCGTCTGGAGTCTAGCACCCAATGCAGTCCTTCTTCCCAGCAGAAACCTCCTGAGACTTTAAAACCTCCTGGTCTTTACTGGCAGGATTTCTATCAGCCTTCTGGTCTTCTGAGCTTTGACCAGAATCTGCCATACAGAAGAGCCGAAGGTGTTCCAGCTCTACTCTCTAGAAGGACACCTCTGAACCTTTCCAAACTCTTCCCATAAGCCATTTCCAAAGGCTCTTGAACCACATGGTCAAGTATAGTCACAGCAACGACTCCCCTTCTCTGGTACCAAATTCTGTTTTGGTTACTTTTCTCTCATTGCTCAGACAAAATACCTGATGCCCAAAATTAAGGAAAGAAAGGTTTATTTAGCTTACAGTTTGGAGGTTATTTAGCTTACAGTATGGAGGTTTCGGTCCATACTTGGCTGGCTCCAAGGCAGAGTGCCACATGCAGACGTTCACAGCAGCAGAAAACAGCAAAGGCAGCAAGAGCAAAAGGGAGGAGTGGCTGCAAGCAAGCCTCTTTCCCTCCCTTACAAATGCCAACTATCCAGGGCAGGTGTTGCACTCACATCCATAATCCTAGCATTGGATTATGGATCAATCAAAAATCTAGAAGCCTACTCCATGACTGCATGAGCATTTGGGGGGATGTGCAGACATAAACGATAACAGAAGTAAAATTTGAAAAATCAAGAAAAGAAACATGAGGAGGAGACACAAGTGAGACAATGGATCCTATTATGGAATAAAAGAAAATTAACAGAATTAGATAAAAGTAACAGAAAAGAACAAATAAGGAAAAGAAAAAGCAGCAAAATAAAGAAAAAGAAAAAATTAAAAGAGGAAATAAACCCCAACCCCAAAAGAACTGACAGAAGGAGAAGGAGGAAGAGGATGAGAATGAAACAGAAGAGGAAGAAGAAGAGAAGAAGAGTCCAAAAAAATTGCTGTATACTTCTGAATGAGTCTTTTCTTTTCTGGGTCTGCAGTCTTGGAATCCAACAGATAAGGGAGGTGGGTAGTGAGTCACTGTTAAGGCCTATTTTGTTTCCATGCTCAAATACCTGGGTGTAAACGTTGGACCCAAAGTCACAATGTTCTCTGCCTAGCTCTACAAGCCTATGCATTTATGAGTGCCCCACTCCCAACACAGAAGTCTCTCTGTCCATACTCTCTGGGCTGTGACAATTGTCCAAGGTGAGGTGTGTCCTTGCTCACACTGGTAGACTGAGAAGCAATCAGACCACTGGTCTCTATTCCTGATGTAGCTAGCAGGGTGGGGGTTCAAGCAGTCTTCCGGACTTAATGGCAGCATTTTCAGATCCAGCCACTTCTAAAACCACATGCGCAGAACTGGCCTCTCACCAGAAGGCAGGACCTCTGTGTCCCTCCTAGCCAAACTTCAACTTCTCAGGGAGTCTATGTCCAGCCCACTCCCACTCTATGGCCACCTCCCATGGCCATCTCCCATCCAGTCCTGTGGCAGGGTGACACCCGAAAGCCTGAAGTACAACTACTCAGCAGCTGCTCTGTGGCTTAACCCTTTCCCAAGATGGCTCCAGGCGAAACTTTCTTAGATATGGAGAAAGCTCCTTCCACCCCAACTCCAGCCTGTCCTGTGGAAATACTCACTTTCAGACTAAAATACCACATTGTGTTTTCAGTTTCTAAGAGCCACTGGCGTCTGTTGGAGTCAGTGCTGCTGGGCCAGTCTGCTATCTCTCCCTGGAGCTGGTGATCCTCCTGGTGAGCAGTTTTGTTCTCTATCTCTGTACATTTGATTTTTTTTTAAGATTCCATACAGAAATGAGATCATAAAGGGTTTCTCTTTCTGTGCCTGGATGATTTCACTCAGTGGACACCCTCCACACTTACCCATGCCCTGGGACAGTGAGGTAGCCAGTCACCTGGGTAAAACCCTGCCACTTCCACAGCCCAGGAGGAAGCCAGGCAAAGCTCTTGAGGTTTGATACCATGTAGGCATGTAAGGACGCAGAGCACCTGGAACCACCACACAGCTGTTAGAAGGTAAACAGTCTGGGACCAGCAGTTCCCTACCTGGGCACTCACCAAGAGGCCACAAGTACATGGCCTCACACAGTGTATAGCAGCACTCACACCAGCCTGCCACCAAGTGACAATCCAGCCAGAATACCACCCTACATGGAGCTCACTGTCCATCTACTGCACTGGGCTCTTCTCCAGCTCTCTGGTAGGGTCAGTCTGGTGCACTTTCTGTAAGAGGAGGAGCTCCGTGTCTCAGTGGGAAGCAGTTTCATGAATCCCCTGACAAGGCCACAGTGCCAAGCCACTCAGGGAGGGACTCAAAGGAAAGTAAACCACCACATCCCACCAGCTGCATCCAGCTGGCTAAGAGCTTTGAAAGCAAATGCAAGTTTCCTGAAGGAAGACCTCAGCTTCAAGGCTCCAGGGTCCACTCCTGCCTGCAAACTCCAGACACGCCAGCCCCACAACCAAATTCCTTGCCATATCAACCCCAAGGCTGCCCTGGAGGGTACTAACACACAGGGGAACATGGACATCTCCATGACATCTTCTGAGCAGCAGCAGGAGATGATGCGATGCTGGAGGCTGTGACACAGCAGAGTTGGAGGGAAGAGGACCCAGTGGGGACAACAGGCCAGGCTCACCGGTACAACAAGATAGGAGCGGCCACCCACTTCTACCCAGGTCACACAGTCAATCATACTCCAGACTCTGCTCTGTGAATCCTTTACCAAGACACAGGAAACGTCTGGCTGAGGGTGACCATGAGCTGGTCATAGGGACAACTGTATTGTCTCTGCCTCATCTTCCTTGCCTCTGTCCTCCCCAGACTCTCCCTCCATAGCAGGGCTGACCCCAGAGCTTCCAAGTTAAAACACACCATCAACACCTGGACTATGGGGCAGGAGCTGGGGCCAGTTCACTGAGCACTGCCAAACAGGTCAACGCATGGGGATGACATTCACAGGACATTCTGGGGTGGTGATCTCTGTGGTGAGCCTTGCCCGGCATGAGTGCTGCTGGATCCACCCCCAGCTCCACAAAGAACAAAAGGGATGTTGCACTGCTGAAAGCCAGGAGAAACCCCTGAGCTCTCCACCATGAGGTACCAAGGAATGAGTCAGGCCAGCAGATGCAGCGGCAGGCACACCACCTCCATGACCAGTGATGACAGCATCCATGATGACAGCAGGCGTGTCCCTCAAGCCAAAAGAAGTGCTGTCAGAACATGCAGGACCAACATAGGAGGCTCTCACTTCTGATCAGGGATACATGGTCCCTGGGACTCGCAGTGTCCTCTCCAGGCCATCATGGCCATGGAGGCGCTCTGTGAAACCCAGGTTCCCCCTCCCCAGGACAGCACCTGTTGAGAAAGCAAGGACCCTCGACAGACAGACGGTCCACCTGTTACAGGAATTCTCCAGAAGGTTCACTACAAGCCAACAGCACTGCTCACCTCTGTGGAGAGGGCAGGCATGACGGAGGGAGACCTCACTATGCACTCTCATAGTCAGAATTCCAACCAGCACAGGTGTCCGACCTGGGCCACAGTGAGGCCGGAGTACCTGGCTGTGATGGGGAGTAGCATCGAGTGTCAGACAGACACCAGGCAGTCTGAGCAAGCACTTGGAGACCAGTGCCCAAGAACAGAAATGGCCCACTCCAGGCTTATAAGGGGCAGAGCCACTGGGGCCAACCAGGGCCAGAGACACAGAAATAGCAGCAGCAGCAAGGGGACCAGGCCCAGAGCCGGCACCAAAAACACCCCACCTGCAGGAGTCCATGCACACTGACGGCCTAACCATGCCTCCTGGCCCCAGTGCGAGGCTGGGCTCAGGATGGATTTGAACTCCATCCTGATTCCTGACCCTCCATCCTAGCTCCGTAACACGGCTGGACTTAACACGAGTCGGAACTGTGTGGTGTGTCCTTACCCTCCTGCCTAGCCTGGCTCATGGCTGAACTTGGCATGGATGTGAGCACAGATGAACTATCAGGAATGGAGAAGCCGGAGCCTGCACATGATGACTAGACCACTTATCCCCTTGTAAGCAAGGACAGAAATTAAACACAAACCCCAGAAGAAAGCAGCATACTCAAGGAAATGAAGCCGTACACTTCCTCGGAATTATTTATCTGCTTTATCACTAGGGTAGGAAGTACCCTGCCTGAGTTTTTGAAAACTTTTACATTTGGCAACAGACACAAAGCCCTGTTCCTCTCAGGCAGGCTGAGAGAGCTGCCAACCTTGAAAGGACCGAGGGCCCCCTTGTCCCAGTGGCTCTGTGCGCACACCCACCCTGGGACATGTGGGGCGGCACTGCCATGGGCACAGGCACTCACGCCCTTGGTGATGCAGGCAGGCTGAGCCCTGAGGCTCTCTGCCGTTTTGCCCCTCATGGAGTATAGGGTGAAGAGAGAACAGTGACAGACCGGGGGCATTTGGACCTGGTTCTAGGAGGCCAAGGCAAGGACACAGCTAGGCTCTCTGGCTTCTGGGATGCAGAAGCCAGAGACAAAGACAAAGCCAGGCAGGTGCAGCAGGAAGCCAGCAGGCACAGCCACACGAGAGGCCGAGCCACAGTGGGCAGGGTCACCCTCTACGGCCACACTGTTAAAGACAGGTGAGCTCACGTATGACAAGGAATAAGTTAGGTCAGGAATGGAACACTCCAGCACTTCCAGCCCTGGGCTCCAGGTCCACCCATAATGTCAAGGACCCAGCATGATTCTAGGGATAGTAGAGGAGCCAGAGTCTTTTACAGCATGCAGAAGGCCACTGCCTCCAGGGCACATCGAGGGCATGACAGGTGCAGCACAACAGGTCTCCAGTTATAGGACACCACCCTGATAAGAGGGCCCAAAAGTGCAAGCTGTGGGGTCCTAGGGCCCAGAGACAGACCTCCCCAGCCCCCTCCCCCATCCCTGGAGACCAAAGCCAGACCCCAAAACTGCTGAGGTGCACAAACATAGCCCAGAGACACCATTCCACTTGGGGCAGGAATGTCACTAGGGTCTCTCTGCAGCACAGCACTGGGACAGCCCAGCCCCAGTCAGCAGAACAGGTGGCCGCAGTCCCTTGGCTGTTCTACATCTGTCAAACTCCTGCACACAGAATGGGCAACATAGCAACAGAGGTGGGGGGCGGCCTGCTGCCCTTGTCCATGGGGGCTGCACCACTAGATCACAACACTCAACTCCAGTCATCAGCAGACACATTTCCAGAGCGCTATCCTTACCTTTCCCAGGACTCAGGTTCTGGTCTATGAAGACCTTGAGTTCTCCGTTGGCTTCAATTAGACCGGCCTGTAGAGAACAACAATGGTAAATACAGTGTTCACAGAGCCACGACCATAGCTAATACGCTGGCCCTCACAGGACACCCTAAATCACTTCCTAGACAGACAGAAGGCTACTGCCACGCCAGGAGAGCCCATAATGCAGGGTGTTCCACTGGCCAGCAACCTGTGACCTGCAGTCATGCAATCACAGAAATCTAAGGCAGAGGGGATGCTCCTGGAAAATGCAAAGTGGAAGGCCAACCAACACGGGAGTGGACACCAACACAGGGGTGGACACGTGAGGAAGGACCTCACTCTGCAGGAGCCCTGCGGAACCTGGCATTCTCCTCCTACCCAGCGAAAGCCCAGGTCTGAAAGCCCTATGGCCAGCCAACCTAGGAAAAGCAGGAAGGGAAGGCTGGTAAACCAAGGTAGGAGGTTAGCCCCAAGGGTAGGCCCAGGTGTAGGCACACCTGGGAAGTACTCAGCACATGAGCTGGGCCAGCAAGGGGGTGACAGAGCTCACTGTCCCATGTGACACAGATGGGGCTGAGGGTCATGCGAGAGAGGGCATGATTCAAAGGCCACAAGGCCACTGGCAACTTCCTGGCCTTCCTCAGAGCCTACTTTGCTAGGGTCAGGAGGAGATGGGGGCTGCCCGGCTCCTAAACATGTCAGGCCCATGCAAGAGGGACCAACATGCCAACAGGTTCTATCACCCTTCCTGAGCCAAAAACAGTGAGTAAGGCCAAGAGTTTAAAGCCAGGTGGGAGGCCAGATGGGTGCCCCAGGACCCCGGGCATGGGTGAGTTGGGGATCAGTAAGGGCAGGTGAGCACAGTTAAGCAGTTAAAAACCAGGAGTCAAGGGTGACACCAGGGTGGTAAGGACAGGAGGTTAAGGGCAGACAGAAGAGGTTAGATGGCAAAGCCAGGTGCCCGAGACCCATTGTGGGGCTGGTCAGTGAGGCCAGGAGGCAGAAGGAAATGAAGACAAGGGAAAGAAAAGAATGAAAACAAAGGGGTGAAACCTTGGGGGAGACAGGTGGGTGATGCCACAAGGCCTGGTGGGTGAGGTCCTGTGGGAGGGCCAAGGGGAAAGGCTGGAAGTTTACAGCAAAGCAGGTAAGGCCATGTGAGCCAAGAGGTTCGTAACAGCAGGTGAGCACCATCCAGTGGGTAAGGTCAGGAGAGCCGGTCAGGAGGCTCAGGCCAGGTAGGACCAGGTGCACAAGACCAGGTAATAATGGCAAGGTGAGGTCTTGGCTATAAGTCCACAGACAAGGGAAGGCCAGGTGACCAGTCCAGGGGAGGAGTTAAAGCCAAGGAGCAAAACCAGGCCAGGAAGGTGTGGTCACACTGGCCAAGGTAAGGTGCACAAGGCCAGCAAAGGAAGGTCCACAAAGTCACATTGGGCTTTAGGTCATCAGGGCAAGGCCTCAGGACAGGCCCAGGGGAACATGTCCAGGATGCGGGGGTAAGACCCGAACACAAGACAGAAGACAATGCCCACAGGAACAGCAATATGATCAGGCCAGGCAGGTGGATGAGGCCAGCACAGGAAAACCGTGAGCAAGCATGTGGGCCCCTGCAGCTTAGGCAGATGTAGAATGCCCAAAACTGCAGTCCAGAGGGTGGTGAAGCCAGGTGGCCAGGCCAGGTGGAGAAGGCCAGCAAGTCAGGCCCACAGAGCCTGCGACCAAGGGCAGGACGAGGCAGGAGTGTAATGACCGGATTTTCAGAGCCAGGACCCAGGAGGTTAAGTCTGGAGGAAAAGCAAGCAGGGCAGGCTGGTAAACCAAGGTAGGAGGTTAGCCCCAAGGGTAGGCCCAGGAGGCTGAGTCAGTCAGATCCCATGCACATGGCCTGCAGCTTCAGACCAGGCCTGGAGTCACGGTTTGATAACAACATGCAAGGGTCCCAGGGAAGCACAGGGACCAAGAAACAAGAGAAGAGGACGACACAAAGCCAGAGTAGCTGCAGACTCTCAACAAGTCTTATCACCCATGGCCTCAGCTGTACCTGCAAATAAGCTCCAGATAAAGTCCTGCTTATGCTCCTCATATGTTTCTGTCCTTCGCACTTAAAAAGCCAACACTGAAGAGCTGGTCACATCTCAACACCACAGGCTTGGCCCGCTGAGTCTCTGGTTCAGGCCCCAGGCTGGAGCCTGTTGTGCACCTGCACCCTAGCAGGCCCCTTCCTTGCTGCACCTTCTCCAGGGAGAGCCAGCCACACTGGCCTTGGGCAGCTTCCCAGCAGAGGCCTGGACCTGCACCTCGAGACCCAGGGGCTATCCCTCACCACAGGGGTCACCACAGCATCAGAGCTCCACCACAAGGCAGTGACAAAATCACCTCCAAACATTGCAAAACCAACCTTAGCTGAGAACCTGCAAGGCATGATTTAAAGACTATGCTGCCCCTCAAACAGATCTGTTCCCCAGGGCTGAGAGGTGTGCACATGGTTGCCTCACCCTCAGCCCTGGTTCTGTGTGGACCCAAGGCTGCAGGGCAGGAGCCAACCGAGCAGGAGCCAACCAAGCAAGGGCCAGGCAGCTGCCGTGCCTGCCTATCACCCGCCTATCACTGCACACCCCACAGTGGGTTTTATGGGCACAGAAAGCAACTCTTTTGTAACACAAGGTGTCAAAATCACAAAGGAAATGCAAGCTCTTCTTTTCAGAAAGGAAATTAGAAAACAAAACCACCCAGAGTTCTCTAGTTCACAAATCATACGCAGAACATACAAAAATCTTTGCCAAGCCAGCACTGTGGTAGTAGGCAACCTTTCAGGGCCATGACCTTGACAGGCTGACCTCTGCCCCGCCTCCGACATCCTGGGGCCAAGGCAGTCTTCCTGCAGGAAGCCCATGCCCTCAAATCCTTACACTGAGTGTGACCCCAAGGTGATGGCCCTGACAGGGTTGTGGGGTGACAGGGTGGGTTGTCACATGAGAGGGCGCTGCTCTGGACCCACCTTGACTTAGACCAGAGTTGTGAGACATGAACTGCTGTTTCCTAGCCAGCCATGCACAGGACTGATATAGGCCCAACCCTGACGTGCACGCTCACTGTCCTCAAGTCCCAGGAGGCAGACTGAACCCAATTGTGACCAGGGCCATAGAGAAGCTGGGGCCACATGGACACCTGGGCAGCTATAGGGAGCAGGCCCTGCCCACAGCAGATCGAGGCTCTGGGCCACACCCCAGCCTCCAGGACAGGAGTCCTGGATCCCGCCATGCCACAAACCATACGGAATGACGAACACCCAATTCTTAGGAAGCTTGTTCCACAGCACTGGGAGACACAGTAGCCTTGGGGTCAGAAGTGGAGGAATGCTCTGAGGATCCAGAGCCCCAGGATGAGCTCAGCCCCAGGGAGGGCACCGTGGCATCCAGCACGGCCTCACTTCTTGCAGGAGCAGATTCCAAAGATGGAGATGCAGGGCAAAGGTCGCTCTAGTCTCCTTGAAGATGAGCACCACCTGCATGGTATGGGCCACTAATGCCTGAGATTCTGCACCACGGTGCTGGAGCAGCCACTGTGCAGGCAAACCCTGCTCTTGGCTGTCACCAGTGCTCTCCAGGCTCATGTAGTCAGCAACTTTCAATGCGCGAGTGCAAGCAGGGACCCGAGGCAGCCACCTTGGACAGCACATCAACACTGGCTCCTGTCCACTGGGAACATCTCAAAATCCACAGGGGATAGGAACAGTCCTGGGATGCAGAGCCATGGCCCTGCCAGGCACCCACAGAGCGCCAGGCAGCTGCTGGGGTTGGGGACAGCAGTGCATCGAGGGGCTGTCAGCACACAGACTGCAGTACGCTCCAACCTGTGACCCTGGTCTCCACTGGTGCTCAGGACCATACATATCCCAGGCCACATCCTCGGGACTGAGGACAGAACACACCAGGACAGGTCCAATGACAGCCACTGTGGTTTTCTAATGTGACGGCATCCTTGCTGGTTAGTGTCACAACCCCAGTGAGGCCACCACAACCCACACAGGCTGTACATCCAGTCTTCCCCATGTCACAGCTGAGGGCTGAGGCCCACAGAAGCTGGACGGACATCAAACACAAGCTGCTTGATTCTTCAACATGCTGCAAAAACTGCTCCCAACCGAGAATTCCTGCTGCTCACATGTCTCTTGTGTGGAACAGAAGCCCCAGGGTGCAAGGGGGACCCAGAGCGGGGACAGCCCTCACATGGCCAGCAGGGACAGTGGAGGACTCCACACAGGACCATGGAGCCAGAAGCATCATGTTCCCACACAGCAGCCTTCCTGCACGCACCATGCCAGGCCTCTGGGTTAGGACCAGGCCACCGCCATGATGGCCACAGGAAGTCTTGTCACCACTGTCCTGTGAACATGCGTACGCAGACTAAGCACACACTCCAAGGTGGGATGGAGCTGGAGCAGGGTGAAGAGCTGCCCTCCACATATCACACTGCCTCGGCCTCCCAGCAGCACCCAGGCCTTGTCCAGGCAGCTCCTCGGGGCCAGGGTCAGCACCACCCAGCTGGAGGTGAAGGAAGGAAGCGGGTAGAAGCCCACTTCACATCAAAGGCCCAGTACAAGCTTGGATACAATCCCAGAGCTTGAAGACTGTCCTTAGCTACGTTGTGAGACCTGTCGGCATTTCCCACCCTGCTGCAGACTTTGATCCCACCCGAGTGGGGCCCTGCGAGGGCTGTGGCCAGGTCCTGGTTGGGAGGTGCAGACGCCAGTGTCCCAACAGAGTTCGTGCACAGCAGGCACCATTTGCCAAATGAAACACAATTTACTCAAGGACAGAACACGAAAGCACTATGGAGACCAAGTGCAATGTGGGAGAGGGGAGGCCTGAGAGCTTCATGACCCTCACCCTAAGCCTAAGCCTGGAAATGAGGCCACACCACAGCTGGCCTCACCTCCGGGTACTCACTGGCACAACAGCAAGTTCAGCCTTGTGCAGGCGGTAAGATCCACATCTGCCTGCACATCACCCACCATCAGCCTGGCTCTGGGCCAAA